TTGGCTTATAGATTGATCTAGTACCTTTGGTTTCCTTGCGGTATCATCCGGGGCGCATTGGCGAATTTGGGTATCAACACGACGGTGCAGGCCGAGACCTCAGATCTACCAGGTGCAACTTTCCAGATCAAAACTCTCCAGCCTCGGCCTTGAATGTGAAAATGGTTGCGCCTGGGCCTGGGCTAGCCCTTTAACCAATTTACGCCTATTGTATGACTTATGACAGTTCCATCTTGCAAAGACCTTGTGGTTCATTCAATTTACTACAAGGGTCATTGATCATTCCAAGTCTCTTGGCTACATGAGACAGGATACCGAAAAACGGCCGAATATGAACGGTGAAATCTGTACTTCTTTCCATTGCAGGTTGGTTGCTACATATATTTGTGCCAAAACTACCCATCTGTTGGACCGTACACTACTCGTGTCTGCTCATTGTTCATAAACTCGTGGTCTCACATTTAAAGCCTATCTTTCCGGGAGAGGATTGGTTAGCAACGTTCTGTCATTTTCCGGTGATATCGCGGCCGTGGAGAAACCAGCGAGAAATGTACCGACACAAAGAGACCCACCTGATATACACGATGGATAACAGACAGGGGGGGAGGAGGGCTTACTTTGGTGGGGAGTTCTTGGCGAACTCAACACCCTTCTCGATGTTGCCCTGAAGTCCCTTGACGCAAGCCTCAAGGAGCTTCTTCTCCTGCTCGGTAATATCGTCAAGGATGTTGATGGCCTTCTCGGCACCGTTGGGCTGGATCGAGCATGTCAGTTAGTTGTCATAACACACTGGAAAATTGAAGACTTACACCGAGTTCCACGGGAGTGGAGAAGAACTCAAGACCGGTGGCCTTGGCAATCTCATCACCGCCGGCAACGCCGGGGAGGTAGACGAAAGTAGGCTCAACAATGCCCTTCTCGCCCTTGGAAGCCTTGATGACAGCCTCGGCGAATCTAGTATTTGTCAGTCATTGTGGTGGCTCCGGATTAGCGGGGTAAACATACCTGAAACCGGCAAAGGCCATAGACAGAGTAGCGGAACCAGCACCGTCCTTGGCCTTGACTACCTCGTCACCACCGAATTGGACACCTGTGGAATATCAGCAAATGCATCACACAGAAAGGACTGGTCACATACGGTTGACAAGAGCATCGTAACGGTCAGCGGGGATCTGGAAGTTGGGGGAAACCTTGCTGAACAGAGGAACAATGGTCTCGCCAGAGTGTCCACCAATAACGGGAACGGTGGCATCAGAGGCGTTCTTAACGCCAGAGAACTCCTGGGTGAAGGTCTCGGCACGAACAACGTCCAGGGTGGTCACACCGAACAGACGCTTGGGGTCGAAGACACCGGCGGCCTTGAGGACCTCGGCGGCAATGGGGACGGTGGAGTTAACAGGGTTGGAGATAACAAGGATGAAAGCCTTGGGGGCGAACTCGGCGATGTTCTCGACGAGACCCTTGACAATTCCGGCGTTGACCTTGAAGAGGTCGTCACGGGTCATACCGGGCTTGCCTAGATGTTACCATAAGACGTTAGCAAAACATCACATGCCGATTATCGGATCTACTCACGGGGAATTCCGGCGGGGATGACAACAATGTCAGCACCGGTCAGAGCGAGCTTCAATCCATCATCCTTGGGGAGGTAACCAGTGATTTTCTAGTCCATTGTTAGCAAGATTATTCACCATGCTTTCAGAGTATCCATGGATACGATACATACGGCAACCGAGGAGATGTGAGAGAGATCTGCAGCAACGCCGGGGGTATTGACAACATCGTAGAGGGCAAGGTCATCGACGAGAGGGCATGCCTTCAGCAAGAGGGAGAGGGGCTAGAGGGATCGATTAGCTGAGGTTCATAATGGAACGACTGAAATGCCTGGAGAAGGGGGGAGAAACATACTTGGCCAATGCCACCAGCAGCTCCGAGAACAACTAACAACGTATCAGCAAATGATAGACAGACCAGTCAAACAAACATACCAGCTTTAACCATGATGAATTATATGTGTGAAAGAGAAAGAAGATGGGGAGGAAAGAAGAGAAGGGGAAGCGTCCGATTTATAAGAGGGGCAGGTCCCCGGTGAGAGGGGCAACCCCAGACTGTTTTTATGTACAACATCGGCTTTCCACATGTAAGACGACATTCCCCTGTTGTACTGTTGTACCTTATATAGTTCTATTCTTTATTTTACTTTAAATTCTTACTATTTAATATTACATCTTCCATTCTTATACTTAATATCCTTCCAACATCCTGCCAATATCCAATATCCTTCAGTTATTGCTCTCTACAGGAATGCCGTCACTGCAGCTCTCGACCTTTCTCCAGACTCCGGCTATTCTTCCGAGGTATTCTCTTCACATACCTAGGTAGTTCCACCCGAAAGTTCCCCGAGTTACGGAGTACCGGGTCGTCATATCGGGAAAAGGCGGACTACATTCAGAAGATACAACCCGGGCATTGTGGCACGGGCCGACCAGTCGGTTGTTCAGTCGTGAATCAATTTTACTTTTATCCGGAATTTGTTTTGGAAATTTGTTTTCTCTTGCTTTAGAAGGTCTCGGCAGGACACTGGTTTTTTTTGTCCTTGGGAGCAGGATTGCTAGATTATGGTTTCCGAGTCCAGCATGGCGTTTTACATACGCCTATCAAGTCTCCCATCTCCTCTCCCCCAAATCCCCGATCCTCCATGGTCCACAATTCATCCTTGTTTCAAGACAAATTTACTCGGACTCCTCAGCCTTCTGGGCCTTGGAGCCACGGGCCTTCTTGGCGGGAGTATCCTTCTTGGGGAGCTGGGAGCGGCGGACGGCGCTGACACGGGCAACGGCCTCCTCGCGGATATCAGCACGGTAGCTGTTCTTGGCGGTACGGTCGGCAACACCCTTGTAGATCCTGGAGAAGATGACGGTCAGCATTGGGCCGTGAAAGTAACATACACCGTGTGTCTTGAATAAAACGAAAGGAAATTGGATGCCGCTTACTTGCGGGTGGAGGTCTTGGGGCCGTAAGTGACGGTAACCAAGTTCTGGCCGGGCTGGTTGGGGTTGGTGGGCTTCTTGGTGGTCACGGCGACACCGTTCTCAGTAGCCTGGACACCGACGGCCTGAAGGTAAAATAGTTAGCACGACAAAATGTTTAAAAGAAAGGCGACAACACCAGTAGTGCAGAGTATAATTACCTTGTTGTTGGCGAAACCGGCATACTATAATGCGCCAAAAGAGACCGTTGTTAGCCATCCATTCCCGGATAGGTTCATGCATTCCGTATAATCCCCGAGATGTCCCGTACCTTCAAGGAGTGCTTGTTGACCAGGTTGAGGGGGTCGCGGGAGAACTGGAAGCCGCCGGCGGAGTTGCGGTTAACCAGGTAGGCGTTCTGCTTGCCTATTCCAATTGATGAGCTCGAGTTCGGTTTCCAAAAGCTTTGACTTGAAATTTCGAAAGGGAAAAATGCGCAGGGTCGGACGTACGGGTGATCTGCCAGATCAGCTCGTTGGAGATGTTGGAGGAGGCCATTGTGATGTGAGGGGATGTTGAGTTGGAGAATTGAAAGATCGAAATCGCTATCAAAACCGTCTTCACGTCGATCAAATTGTGTGTGTCTCGAATGCCAAGACCTCAGATTGGACGGGGTCTCGCTAAGCCGGCTACTTTAGGAATAGCTTTAATGCCTTGGTGCCTTGATTACCTAATATTTGGTGCCTGAGCTCTGAAATACCTGGATGCCTCATCGCCGGTTTAGTAAGGCAGAACTGACAGCTTCCGGCGACCTCCAGGCTGCCAATAATATGAACGCGATGCTGACGTTGCCCCCTCCAAACTCTCCCTTCTAGTTAACAACCACTCTAATCTTCACATGCCTTCTTCATCGACGGCGTCTTACCTGATGTGACACATCATCTCTTACCTCTCTAGCGAAATACTCTCAAGCGCGCCAACTCCTCCTTACACCACAATATCACAAAGCTCTATACTACTTTACTAGCCACTCTACGCCGGAATCTTCCCCGGTATCACTCATCATCATGACCTACATTCTCTTTTATTTCCTACTCTTTTCAGTTATTATTAGCGGGACAGGTAAGCAAGATGTCTTTCCAACTGCAAAGAAAACAAAGAAATCATTCATAACGGATTTGGTTCTAATTGCACTACAGCGTTATATCTCACACGGTCACGATGGATGCCCTTAGTCCAAGTGCCTGATTATATCTATCACCGCCTTCCCTCAAGTTTCACCGCCGATCTTGAGGCCGGCCTGAGCTCGTCACAATTCGACATCACTGCCAACCTTGCAGATGGGGATTCGAGGGCTGGCTTGGATCAACGAGCAAAGGCCGAAGTGATGAAGATTATGAAGAGTCGAAAGGTCAACTTCGATGAAGCACGCCGGATTTACACAGAGCAACGATTCGCAAAGAATAACATCGGACCTGACGGCCGGCCAAGGGATCCCAAATTTGTCTCGTTTTCGTGATTCGCCTACAACCATATCACCAGTTCTAGCATGTTTTCTTGACCATTGTCAGAGCGGCCATCTCGCTGGCAGAATCCATACAAGTAGAGGTCACGGCTTTCGCCCAGTAATATCTCATCTTCGCTGTCAAAGCCCTCGGGGTACTACGATTACCACTTTGGCCAGTGCATTTCTTGTCTCTGTGGATCCTTGGCAATTGAAACCTATTAAGTTGATGTGTTATCAAAATACAACAAGTCTGTCTGTTTTGTCCGTGTCAAGTAGATACTTAATATTACATATTACCATCCAGTGCTGCCATTAGCCAGCCAGCGCCGAGGCACAGTTTGATCCACCCCACATAAAACACGTTTTGAGGCAACCAAGCAAGAGGAGAACATCAAACACATGGACCAGCGCTTTGGTCCTTGGGTCATCAAATCATATCAAAAAAAAAAAACCACCACCTTCCATAGCGACAAGGGCATAACTGTTGGTGGGGAGGGGCTCTCAAGACTGGAGGCCACTTAAGATCACCGATTGCCTCCATATCCGGGCTGTTGGAAGCCCGGTGGCAATGAAGGGGCTCCAGCTGGAGGTCCAAATCCAGGCGGCGGCGCAAACCCAGGGGGAGCTGCAGCCTGTGGAACAAAGGGTGGTTGACCTGCACCATTGAATCCAGGTGGTAAGAAGGCCTGTGGGCCGCCGTAGCCAGCTTGGGAAGGCGGGGGTCGAGCTGGGAGCCCGGGAGGGGGGGTATTGAGTGAAGGGACAGGAGGTGGGATATGTCGGTTTGGAGGGGGGACGGCCTGGTAAGGCATTGAAGGGGGTGCATTCTGGTAGGGCATAGCTGGTGGCATACCCCGGTTCATGCCTAGATCGGGTGCTTGTGATGGGGCTGCACTCAAAGGTCGAGAGATGTCGCCATTCGACGTAGGCGTTGCTGGTACGCCTGGGGGAGCGCCAGGGAACTGAAGAGGTTGCTGAGTCGGTGGCTGTACATTATGCTTGCGAGCCTGGGCTGCCAGCATTCGCTCCGCTTCATCACCATGTCTCTCGCCTTTTCCATCCTTCTTGTATGCATACTGTACCGAAACCTGTTTGTTCATCAGGTATTGGCCATTCATGTTGGCAATGGCCGCGTCCGAGGATTCGAAATCGGCAAAAGAAACAAATCCATATCCTTTAGAGAGATTGTTGTCATCGCGCGCAATCTGTAATGATAAAAAAAGGCTGTTAACAATGTCCATCTTGTTTGTATTAGAGGGAGATCTCACCTTAGGCGGACTGACGAGGTTGCCAAACCGGCTGAATGTATCGTAGAGAACCTGCTCGGTGACCATAGGGTCAAGATTGCCCACGAACAGCTCTGCGCCAATTTCCACGGTCTTTTGCTTATCGGCCGACGCTTTGTTAACACGAATGGGTTTGCCATGGAGACGAATTCCATTCATGATCTTCGATGCATATTCGGCATCTTCCTCGCTTATGAATTCAACAAATCCATACCCCTGGTGTAGCTGCGTGACCCGGTCTTTGGGCAGGTGGACGTTAACGATGCGCCCGGCCTGCAGCATCAGTTCCCATACCAGGCTGTCTGTGACCCGTTCATCGAGGTTTCCAATGTACACGGTCGCCTCTTTATCTTGTTCCCTAGATTGAGTTAGCATCATGGCCCTGTGGTGAGGAAAGAGGGTCTTACCAATGCCTTGTGTTAGACATGGTGAATTAATTGGAGAGTGAGAAAGAGAGGGGAAAAAAGCTCCCCCTAAAGGAAAAGGGCTCAAAGATCCAAGTACAATCAATTGACTAGGAAAATCCTGTTGGTAGAAGACCAACAAAGTAGACTGAGGGGAAGTGGAGAGGTAATAAGGTGTGAAGGTGTTGAAGTGAAGGAAATCCGGAGCTCAGGATCAGTGACCTTTCCCGAAAACTTTTGATTCCGCAAATCCTCCCCGTTTCCACTTCATCTATCAACCACATCTCCCACTGTTCACCCGGATCGACTTTGAACCAATTTCAAGTTATTCTTCTTGATCCCCTTGAAACCCTCCAACTTCAACTTCATAAATTCACAATGGTTCAATTCTCCGAGGAGACCAAGGTTAGTTGCAACCCCCGATCATCTATTATCCTTAAGACCAGGTTTCTAACACTCTGTTTCATTTATTCAGGAGCGCGTCTCGAAGGTCATTGATATTTCTCGCGTTGCGATCCACTAGTGAGCCCCATGGCACCTTCATGTCATCCTCCGAGCTGACCGGCGATAACCTTTTAGCGGATACTTGCCTCTGATTGTCTATCTGGGTATGTATATACCCCTTTGGCGTTTTCAACACCATAGGCTAACAAAAAGAAAACAGGCTACACCTACAGCGAGCCCAAGCCGACACTGTTCAGGTACGCTTCTCAACTCCTTGAATGCAGCCGTCATGACTAACTTGATACCTAGATTGTTCTCGCCTCTTGCCTAAACTACGCGTTGACCGGAGAAACCATACGGGATATGTGGATAGAACGGAGGTGCCCCAGTATATTCTTGAATGACCCTTCAATTATACCCTCTGTGAGGGGTGGTGGGTTTGAATATCTGGATATCACTTTTTGAAGCTTGTGAAAGCTGGATGATTTTGTATTTTTAAGTCTTTGGCCGAATATTTGTCTTTGGTACGAAATGCTGTAACCTTGTGATAATTCGGAGTAAACACTGAGCTTTGTATAAATAAATGACAAGAAAATAAGATATCAATGTGTTTTGATGTATGTTACTAGTACTCTGTACGGAGTTAATCGGCGGTCACATGTTCTGACGTTCTCGGGATATTCCCGATCTCGTCTTGTTTCTTATCTTCTTCTCTTGATATCGTTCTCCATACACTCTCTCCTTTCGTCTTTGTCTCTGTGTGTTCAATTTTCCTATCTTCTTTGAAGGCAGGTTCATGACTGGTCAAGATGGCTTCTCGACATCCTTTGTGGAGACCGTAGCGGGATTCACAGCGGGAATTGTGTCAACTCTGTCGCTACATCCTCTTGATATGATCAAAACAAGGCTACAAGGCAAGCTTCGATGTTATTTTAGCTCCCCTTGGGGTATACAGTAACTAATTTGTTTTGATATTTGTAGTCGATCGGTCATCTTCCCGATTTGGGGGTTCACTGCGAATCATTCGCAAGATCTTCTATAATGAGGGTGGCTATGTCGCTTTTTACCGAGGACTTACCCCCAATCTTATTGGAAATTCCACAAGTTGGGGTTTGTACTTTTTATGCTACAGCAGCCTGAAGGATACCATTCGAAGCCATCGTGAGAAGAGAAAGCAGATTCTCACATCGTCTGATTATCTTCTCGCATCTGGCAGTGCAGGTATGCATATATCATGTCCAACTCAGCATCGTTCCTCCGTTCCTCAATTAACCTGTGGATTTCCATAGGCGTTATCACGTCGGTCCTCACCAATCCAATCTGGGTGATCAAAACTCGCATGTTGTCAACGGGTTCCCATGCTCCAGGGGCGTATTCTTCATTTGCATCTGGAGCAAAACAAATATATCAAGGGGAAGGAATACGCGGCTTCTACCGAGGTCTTGTACCAGCCCTATTTGGTGTCAGCCATGGCGCCCTTCAGTTTATGGCATACGAGCAATTGAAGCTTTTCAGGCTTCGGTCGATGAATACCGGCTCAATTGAGGGCAGCCATTTGGGCGCTGAGCGGGCCCTTGGTAATGTTGATTTTTTTGCCATCTCCGGTCTATCAAAAGTCTTTGCTGGCAGTGTGACGTATCCTTACCAAGTAATTAGGTCCCGGTTGCAAACTTATCAGGCCCATCTGATCTACCGCGGGGCCATTGATGTCATTTCCCAGGTATGGACCAAAGAAGGGATTGCAGGTTTCTATAAGGGTCTTGGTCCAAATCTGTTCCGGGTACTTCCAAGCACATGGGTGACCTTCCTGGTATACGAGAATACCAAGGTCTACCTATCCCGGCTGTCTCAAAAAACATGGAATACTTCCTACTAATTCCTGCTTATACCAATTTGATCGTACTAGAGACCACCTGCTTAGGCTCTACTATAAACTCGGTATCCTCCTTATAGCGTCTGATTATAAATGTCCCCTTGTTGTTCTAAAAAAACACGCCTATTCGATGTAAAGAAGCTCTAATGATTTAAATGTTATTAATAAGATGTTTACATTGTAATGCCAATAAAGCAGCTATACATAGAAATATCCATAGATGACATCGTCCTCAAAACTTGATATCTAAAATTCGACTGTACATATAACCACACCTTTATCGAACAAACACTAGTTATTTGACATGATTGTTAACGTAGCAGATTAAAGAACAGAGTCACGCGTTCATAATCCACATCTGACCCAGGGGGGCCAGATTTCGGGACCCCTCTGGCCGGCCCAGCAATAGCTTCCAAGTCGACCTTCGTCATGCCAGGATGCAGATGTATATCATATGAAAGTGTAGTTGCATCGCCCAATGAATGTAGACGCTGCATACCCATGAGTGCAACGATTTTCACCTGTCGCTGGGAAGTACTAGGCGCTAAACGAGGCCTGACTGTCAGTATATTGTGCGACGGAGGAAGATGGATTGTGATATTCTGTTGCGAAACAAGCGACGAAGGTGGGATATCTAGGCAGAAGTCGGTTTGCAACGACAAAGAGGGATGTGTAAGAATCTGAACATTACGAATCAGAGCCATCTTTGGGTCTAGCTCGAAGTTAGCTGGAAGTCCCATCAATCTCAGCGGGGGTCAAACCTTGGCCTGATCGCCTCAGAAGCGAATCCATGGGCGATGAACCAACTTGTGGTTGGTAAGCTAACAAAGAGTCAGCAAAGGCCTGCAGCCGAGCAACACATTTGCCAAGCGACAAAATATCTACTGGGCGTAACGTACCAGAAGCCGAAGATGAATGCCGGGTGGCATCCGAAGAGACACCAAAAGACGCATTGGGGAGATTTTGCGAAGTGGACGTTGCTAGGGCGGTTACGTTTGTCACCGAGCTCGGTAAGCCATGCGCACCCATAGAACCGTTCTGTTGTTGCTCTGAGCCAGATGGTGTGGCTGTGGTGCTCGACCTGGGACTGTCAAGTTGCCCTCCAAGAGACCATTCTCGAGGAGATCTGCTGGTTTCTTGGCCTGCTAATCCAGCCCCGGAAATATCTTGCTTATGGCCTTGAGATTCGTTCTTGAATGTGACATCTGAGGGTTGTCCATCTTCCTTGGATGGTGTATCGGAGCTCTGCCCAGGCATTCTCAAGGTTAACCTCTGCGCCATTGGGGGCACAGGCGTGCCCACTTTCAATTTGATGCGAGACATCTCAGGGGTTCCATCTACCTGAAGGGGATCCGGAACAAGCTTTTTGGCTTCCGCAACCCGTCGGTGGAAGTGATCCTGGTCCTCCAATGTCAGCATGCCGAAGGGAACGGATAGCAAGGGCGTGGCAGTATAAGCTTACCTCCAAAATCCCCGCCAGAATGGAGATATCGCTGCCGTCTTCGTTGTACTCTCTAGCATTTCGCCATACATAGCTGACCTCTTCTTCAAATGACTTCCATGTAGGATATGCGGTGGTTCTGGATGAATTCTTCCTGCTGTCTGTACCACGAACTCTCTTTTGGATGCTCCGTAAGGACACGGGATGTTGAATGATCTCATAATAATCCCGGTAGAGATTCCGGTCCGGTTTTCCAATAAATGGGTAAGAAACATCCTCGCCACTAGTTCGGGTCATCAGCGTTGAGCAAAGGGTCGGGATCAGTGATAATTACTCAGAATCCTTGAGCCGCGTCAACTCGGACATAATCTTGTCTTGTGCAGTCTGAAGACTATCACCTTCAAAATCTGCCTCGGCTTCGGACTCGGCCTGCGACTCCGGGATTTGATCTGCTTCCTCTAGTGGCTCTGAGTCTAGATGCGACGACGCACGATTGGGCTCTTCGGGGATAATCTCATCATCCTATCAAATGCAACGCATCTTGAATTAGCAATTGAAACATGTGATCCGATCTATATGCGCAAAGAAACAATGTAGGGTTTGTAAATGACATTCGAACAGTGCAGTTCCAACTGTCATAGTCACAGTGTCGCGAGCTCTCCATTCAAGTGTATGATACTTACGGAAACCTTTCGGCGTTTCGTTCTACGAAACTTCATATCTGGGGAAGCTGCGGCAGCCGCTCGTCGTTTTGAGGTCATTTCGGATTACTTCTGATAACGTCCCGAGTCGCGAGTCGAGTCACACATTGAAGATAGTAATATGTGACTGAAGACCACAGAAGAAGTGGAAATATAGCTTTAATAAAGGGACAAATTGATTGAAAGAATTACAAGTAGTGATAGAGTATGGCAAAGGGAGATATTCACATAGACATTCCTCATCTCAGACGTGTTGCAGACGCGTCGGCGGAGCCATCCCGCCTTAGGTAAGGTGGCCCCCGGATAACTAATTATACTGTATGGTATCGAATGGTATCCCCTGTTACAGGTATCAACTAAATATCCAAGGTTTGAATGGAAGTTCAGCTAATCAGGTATGTAAATCTCGTATCCTGGGCTTTATAACTTTGTAATTTCGATACTGAGATTACGTACTGTAAATGCATGTCTTAAATCCAAGCACGTGACTGGAGCAGATTGGGTTGACACCTGAGGCAACAAGTGGTTTGTTCCCCCCCCCCACTATTTTCCCGAGTCCCGCAAAACAAGTCCCGGTGATTGTTGTTTCTACGACTCGCACCTCTTTCTCTATCGTGTCACACTCTCACCTGATCACTCATCCTCGGTACTTTGATTCCTCCATACCAGATCATCTTACACAACCCTAGGACCTCTATCAGAGCCCCGTGAGCGTACGTTTTCGTTGTCGTTACATGCGATAATCATTCCGCCACATTGTGAGGCGCATCCTCAAGCAACTTATTTACTAGCCCTTGTTGCTTGAACACATGGAACAGACTGGTACTGACAATCTGATATATAGGAGATCTTGTATTGCCATTTCTTCTCATTCCGCTATCACAATGGACATCGACCCAGCTAGGCGCAACAAGAAGCCCCGTCTCCTCTTGGAGACGGAGCGCGAGAAACTTGACGAATTTGTGGACTCCATCCACTACTCCGCAAGGTGAGGACCCCATGCCGTTGCGCTGGACTCTCCATTGACCCCTCCGTATAGATACAACGACGACAAATTCGAATACCGCCATGTGCAGCTCCCGAAGAACATGCTCAAAAAAATCCCCGCAGACTACTTCGACAGCGCCAAGGGAACTCTGAAACTGCTTTGGGAGGAGGAATGGCGAGCTTTGGGTATTACACAAGTATGTTGGACCTGATTCGAGGATGTGCATGGGTTCTAACAATGTACGCGCAGAGCTTGGGATGGGAGCATTACGAGGTGCATGAACCTGAACCTCATATCTTATTGTTCAAGTAGGTTATTTGTGAACTATTGCCTTGGCTATGTCACTAACTGTCTTATAGGCGCCCACTTAACTACCAGCCCCCTCTGCAACAATAAGTTAGTCATTGATCTGATCGGCGGCGTTGTGCTTGGAAATATGAGCAGTCGAGAAGACATTGCTTTATAGTCGTTTAGGCACACGCGTTCGCAATATTGCTCATTAGCGTCTACAAAAGCTTCATAATTGAAGTCCTGGAATGAGACAAAGTTTCATTTTCTCCTTACCCGCCATTTCATTGACACGCTAGACCCCGGGGCCAGGCCCTCTCTCTATTATGCCATACGGAAGACCAACATCTGTCTTGTCACGGACGCCTGGACTGTTCTAACGTGGCCATCAAATCGAGTTTTTGGCTGGTTATTCTCCCTACTGGCCAGTGGTGAGGCTGCTACGGATGCTGCGCTTCCCCACTCCCTGAACTTGGTGTGAATATCTTGAAGAACTATCCCAGTCAAGTTATCTTACATTGAAGAGTACTGTGGGCGAAACATAGGCCTCCTGTGTTGGGTCCCTCTAGCCAATGTCAGAGGGAAAACAAAGAGACCAAGTATTTGCAAAGGGACGGACAGATAGATGCATACCTAGGCCATCCACTTAGTGTTGTTGGTCATTTGGTCTCCAGCTTTAGTTGCCTCCCGTGATATATCATTCATGATTAACAAATCAAGTAAATTCTCATCCATTCCCACGCTGTCTGCAACCGTCACTATGTAGCTAGTCGTATAGTTTTCGTCGCGGATCTAATTCATTATGTTGAAAGAACATGGAAGTACAACACAGATTATTAATAACCCTCGTAGACATGGCTTCTTATGGATAGATCTAGAAGTAGTCTCGAAAGTGTGTTGATTCCTTAAATAACTGCGGGATATATGTATTTACATGGTGTTCATACAAAGGGCAAGATGGTTCTTGAGTTCAACACACATTCCGTGACCTGAGGAGGCCCGATATTTTTTGGGCTTTGAGAGGAAAACCTTTGAAAGTCCTGGGTATATGTGATCAACTTCCCAATGCCCTCTGTCTCTTCATGTTCAGATCCTTTAGCGTCATTTCCACTGTCCGCCATTCACGCTTGGCTGGATCATACTCGCCGCTCACTTCAAATCGACAAAACCCATTAGGCCCCTTCAGCCCAACTGGGCCCGTGATAAAGAAAGCTCCGCGGCGAGCAGACCTTGGTGCCAGGGCCTCTTCATGGTTCAATCGTAATTTGAATGCCTGTGATGCCAAGTGTAGTTCCGACCCAGGGCCGAGGTCTGGTAACGGTAGCCGCTGTAATAAAGATATGACGGAGGATGGGTGGTAGTTGGTATTCTCGGTATTAGGCGGCATATTTTCCTTGAGCCCGTCGGCCAGAGGTGGTTGTAGCTTAGATTGGTCTTTTTGTCCAATCCAGTTCCCTCTCTCGTCACCAGGCGCGGCAGAAGAATTATTTAATAAATCAAAGCCATCTAGTGGCTCCCCTTCGGGGTTCCTGAAACGATCCAGTTGCCTTAAGAATAGTATCAGATACGCATCTCTGATTGCTAGAGCAACATGAACCGGTTTCATGAAGGCCTGTAACCTGTCACCTATCTCGGGGTCCATCGGTTTTGTCACCCATGATATATTACCGTCATTAATCTCCAAGCTGTCTACTATCAGTATAAAAACCAAGTTTTAGGGGATCAGTAGTACATACCCTGATCGCACATATCCAGGAGGGGCACGGTTTGGAAACTGATGGACAAGCCAGAATCCTGTAAGGGAGAGGGGCTCCCCGAGTATATGTGCCATCTGCTTCCCCGCATGATCTAAGACGACTTGGGCCAGTTCATCTAGACTCGTAAGCGAATGATCTTGAACGGAGATTGAATCGATCGCTCACCTCTAAGTTTCTGGAGCTTCTTTCGATCTTTGGATAACTTCACGAATTCTTGCCACTCTGGATCCGATGTAGCGTATAGCTCGCCTTCTTGCAACCGAGACCAGGCAAGCGGTATGAATAGCGCACCCTCGTTTTCGACCTCTTTCCCGGTGATTTTGTCGCTTCTCGAGGCTTGACGCGGGGCTGTGTCCCTGGAGTTGGCCACAGGAGGTATGTTTTCGTCGTCGGTATCGTCATCAAATCGTACCAGCACGAAGGTGCTCCAGAGGTGGAAGGCGGTGCCGTACAGAAGACATTTGGATATGAAGGACCTGGGGGATTCTGCGTCAGTCTGACTAAAGAGGCCTTGGGTTGGGTTCAAATGGGGTTCCTTACCTAATCCAAGGCCGCCTAAATCTCACATGTCGCACATTTTCTGGTTTGGAGAAGTTGGAACGAGCATGGGTAGGCCTAAAGAGAGACGAGCGCGCGAGAGGACTTCGAAGCAGATACCTGAGCCGGAGCATTGGGAAAAGCCAATCCCTGCAATTATTCTCACTAGAGTATCATCTCAAATTGGAAAAGGGGATGGACAGAATCCTTGAAGCCTGATATGCACGGGGATTTGTGTTGCGAGTTTGTCGATAGCGACGGGCTCGGCGCTTTGGTCGATTATGTAACATGCGGCGCTGTAGCCCTGAAGGCCGGGCCTAAGTACCAGGATACACATTATGTACACTACAACATATGTAGGTACCTACATATAATAGTTTCTTCGAATAAATGATAATAATGGAAGAACAAACTCTTGGATTAGAGATTGATGACATGGATATTACATCTACAGGTGATACATGTATTTGCCAGAGCTATTTGTAGCTGTACATGCTATACCACGTGATATATATGTGGTATCTTATCGGGTGTCCCCCAAGTCGTCCGTAACCAAATGGTATTCTGTCCTTGACTCCTCGCCGTCGTACCCAACAAAACTCCAAATACCCCTAGAGGAGAACCTTGATGTGGGCATTGCCACGTCTGCCATAATAGTCTTGCCTTACCTCCCGCCGATTCTACCAATATGCGCTGGGTGTCCGCCTTCCTTGCCCTGGGATTAACAGGTGCATTGCAAGCAACTGCACTGGACGCTACGATCTTCACGTTTCCTCCCAAGTCTGCAACCTCTTCAACTATTAATCCCCAACAACAAACAATATCAGAAGATGAGGCCCGGCTTGTCTTGGAGCTTCGCATGAAGTCCTCTGTGGCATCGGTCCTCGGAACTGTGAATGCAGATACCGTGAACCACTTGAATCAATTTGCTCAAGATGATCTCACTCTCTTTGGGGGAGCTACTGGGGGTTTTGTTCCTAAGAAGAGCATTCTTATTCTGGAAGGGGTCAACCAGGAAGTTGGTAAGTGGAAGCGGACGCACACTTGACTGGAAGCTCTAGCTAATGTCCTTGCAGCCCTAGTCATGCAAAAAGCCCAACCAAACCACCTCCATGTTCCGCAAATTTCCTCGCCGTTTATCGGGTTTGACCTCCTGGAATCATTCATCGAAAGCAGCCCCACTTCAAAAGAGGACCGTGGACAATTCTGTACATACTTCAACGATGCCAGCAGCGCTGCATCATCGACATCCCAGGTAACAAAGCCGAATTTCAATGATCCTCATGTTCCCTCGCTAATCTTTCAGTTACATCAGACTCCTAAGGAATGCTTATCCAAGAACCCCATGTTTGCTGATGGGTCTGATTTGCTTACCCGTGACTTCCTTACACTGGTTGATTCAGTGGAATCTTGGATAAGCAAGGATCACAAGGATTCAGCTTTGAAGTTGTCCTTTAAGGTATCAAGTTTTCCCCTCTCTGACCCGTGAATAATTTCTGATTCCACGTCACCAATTACAGAAAGCTTCTGGTGATTCCAAGCTCCTAGAGACATTGCTTCTTCACCTAGCCGAAATATCGTCGACCAGCAACCGGGAAATCACGACAATCGTTCTACCCCCCGGTGTTAAATCAGAAGGATCCAACCCCCGAGGCGCGAGGCAATCATTGGCACCAGTCGCTGCCCAACAAAATGCCTTCAAGAGGTCCACCCCGCATTCTACAATCCCGCTGCACTCAACCCTCGCGCCTGTCTGTCATGTTTCAAACGCCTCGTGTGTCGAATCTACCAACGACTGTTCCGGGCACGGGTCCTGCTATCGGAAGTACGGCTCGGGTGTTGAGGGAAGTTCGGGCAATTGTTATGCATGCCAATGCAAGGAAACTATTGTTCAGAATAGCGATGGCACCACCAAGAAAGTTCGGTGGGGTGGAGCGGCTTGCCAAAAAAGAGACATCAGCTCACCTTTCTTCCTTGTTGCAGGCGTCAGTCTGCTTGCCATCCTTCTCGCTGGCAGTGCGATTGGAATGCTTTTCAGCATGGGCTCACAGGAGCTACCTAGTGTCATCAGCGCTGGTGTAGGAGGTCCTAAGTCTCAGATGTGAGCGTATGGAAGGCTGTGTAGGTGTTAGGGTGTGCTTTTTTCCTTTTGCCGTCTTTTTAGGGGGTCCGCCCTGGAGGGCTTCATGTTATTTACCTCAATCCCTCAACCTACTATGTATAAGCAAATTTTGCCTTTGTTTCCGATTACTCCTTCCCTGCGATCCATCAAGGGGACACTTCCACGATTGGAAGGTTCAATACAGCAGTACATACATGTAAAGTGGCGCAAATTACATATTTCAGGGGAACGCGGCTATATCAAAGAATATGTTGTATAGCATGTACGAAACAGTACTCAGTATGTACTCCAGTGTTGCGCACCAAGAAATATAAAGATGTTCAAGCAATGCACAATCCATTCAGCCCGCTAAATGGATCAAGAATCGGGGGGAAACAGTGGCTGTAAGTAGCACCATAGGACAAAGCTCCTCATAGCAAGAAATAATATGAGAGGGAGACAAAAACAATTCATGAATATCCAACCGAAAAAAGGGGGGGGGGGGGGCTCATGATCCATATGCGCCCCAGTCCAGTCACGCAAAAATCGATAAATTACACATATCAAGTCATAAACAAGGAAAATAAAACTCCAACCAACATTCCAGATGTGGTTCCGGTATGAGAGTATTGTGCAGATTAGCCAAATCGTGAACGGGTATGAAAAGAATAGTAGTCAAAGATCTGTCATGTGGTACCAGCTTCGACTTGACGAGGCGTGCGTCCTTCTGAGGGTAGAGGTTCCACAGGTGAAGTCCCAACTTCAGGTGGTGTGCGCAGTCTTCTTGGCGAGGAATGGAAGGAAAGCTGGCGAAGCCGATTGGGAATCAATCGAGACCAGGTAGATTGACCTGGAGAACGCGAGGCATAGGCTGAGTCCCAAGGCTGATGACGCCCATTTTGCACATGCTGTTCTCGGGCTGGTGTGTCTCTTTCATCCATAGATGCTCTGGATGTCGGTTGAAATATTCGGCTAGGGAAGCCCATTTGAACCCATCCATTTGCCCTGCCACTATTCCAAGCAACTCGAGGAGGTCTGAGAATTTCATCAGCGCCAGTCGAGTCTGTACGACGACCCTGGCGATCTGTGGCAGACGGTACTTCAGTCTGTGCACGGGGTTTAGGGACATAGTAATCAGCCTTGCACAGCGGGCAACATGCCCTTCTGCTAGTCAGCCAGGGGTCGACGCATGAGGCATGGAAAGCATGTCCACATGTAAGTCCCCGAATATCATCATCATCCTCAATGATATCTAGGCAAATCGCGCAAGAATCGCCAGGGTTGGGCAGAAGTTCAGCAGGAACAGCGTTACGAATGTAGGCATCACCATCATGGTCCTCAAGATCAATGTTCATGTTTTCATTGGTCAAAGAATGCTGCCATTTCTCTTTCTGGATACCTGCATCAGTGCACTGCTGAGTAGAAGGCGTCCCAGATACTGTAGGGCCCTTCTGCTCCAAAGTCTGAACCGGAGAGTCATCATGCAGCTCTTGGATGGTGGTTTTTGATGTATCATTGGAATCCACCCGTTCATGACCCTTGGTGGATGGTATTGTTGCTGTGTGAACCCCAACCGCTGTTGTCACAATTTCACTTTCGCCTTTTAGACTCTGTGGTCTGCTATTCGGGGTTGTGATACCTCCTTCTGTTGAAAGGCCCTGGTTGGCACGAGATGATCTCCACACTTTGTACTTGACGAGTGGAAACCGCCCGTTGACTTCATCCATCGTCATTAGCTTCTTCTCCCTTCTCCTGCGATGAGTTCGTGGCATAGCGACCAAGTCTATCGGCTCTCCTAATTCCTCACCGCGGAGCTGACGGTTTCGTTGATTATATCGAAAGCAGTATTTGACACCAACGATGATCCTGCGATGACCGTCAGATGCCATCACTGAAGCCGAAATGCTGGAAGGCTGGCCTGGACAGAGGGATGAAGCGACATACCATAGATTTGTGAACACGACACCAAACCCAAGAGCGACGAAGAACAATAAAGGTGAGCTTGTAGCATTATTTGAACCTGAACCTTCTCCGCCGCTATTAGCGCTTGTGGTTGCAGCACTGCTAGAGGCCGAGGTTGGTGTGGAAGACATTCCGACTTGAAAGTTGATACGAAAATAGCCGCGCTGATCCCACTCGGAACGTGGCCACTTAATTATTGGAGTCTCAGTTGCCCCGAGGTTGATTCTTCATGCCTCGAGTTTTGTGTACAGGGCAGCCCTGTATGTGGATTTTGGGGTAGACTCTAGCCGATTAAGTCCAAGGCAACGAGAAACTGGATAGGGACGACCCGAGAGTATGTATCACATGCGACAGGATGAATATTTGAAGATTAAACTTGATGGCCTGTCATGGATCGACCGTAAGCAGAACACACAGAACTTCCTGCGAAGATAATGTGAATGCCGAGAGTCGATCTCATATCATTATCAGCAGTAGAAGAAACCTTGGCGAGGCGAAAAAAGAGAGAGGGAAAGAGAGAGAGACGGAGAGAGGAGAGAAAGTGGATCAGGGCAAGGATGGAGCCAGGCTCCTGGTTGATTTAAGGATGCATGCGGGACTGACACCTGAGGCTGGGAATCACGGGACTTGGTACTGTCAAAGTCTCAGATACCTCAGATTGACAGGGGTCTAGAACTAAATCAGAGGTGTAAGGTACTTCATGCATTTACAGGGATGAGACACGGCTGTATTTGTCTTCCCCTCTCCTTTCCCGCTTCTATTTGAAATAAATTATAGTGTATTGCATGTTTATTGCATAACCACCTCTAAAAGTACATATGCCTTCATCATATGAAGACTTTAATTATCTGGTACTGTAAATACACAGGGCTTACATCGTATACACCTTGCCACTCTATAAATCAATACACTTGTACTTCATACATGGTAGTATCCGTAGTATATAGTAGACTATACATTAATCCATTAACCCTTTAAATCGCAAACAATAGCTTCAACTGTATTCCGACTTATAATTCTGGATCAGTTCAGTCAAATTTGTATTCACTATCAGTTAGAGATTCTGAAATTTTATTAAGACTGGACTGAAGAGGTTGATACTGCCTTTACATCACATGTTATATGTAGAAAAGTTTGCATTTTACATCCTTTTCACTATGTTCTATATTCTGCTCACTCTTCTTTTCCTTCTGGTATACACGTATATATTATTTGCTTCAGCAAAATGATATTATATTCTATGTATAAAAAAAAGGTCACATGGCCGCTACACCGCTCCGTACTTGCCGCCCCTGGTTCACCTGTGAGGGACATCAGATATCTATCATGCACACGTCCCTCTTCAGCACATCTTAACCACAATTTCACTATGGCACAACCTAATCCAGTGGTTTTCTTTGACATTGCCCTTGGAGGTAAGTCAGCTCACTTATTTGCATACTCTGGTGGCCTTGGCATCTGAGTAATCACCTAACATGACGAACTCTGCTAAGTAATATATACAGGCGAGTCTCTCGGTCGAGTGAAAATGGAGTTGTTCGCCAACGTCACTCCCCGAACTGCGGAGAATTTCCGCCAATTTTGCACTGGCGAGAGCAAGAATGCCAAGGGACAGCCCCAGGGCTACAAAGGAAGCAAATTCCACCGAGTGGTATGTAATGAAGCTTCTTGGGTATCGATTCGGAACTAATGCTCGCTGCAGATCAAAGATTTCATGATCCAGGGCGGAGATTTCATCAATGGCGATGGAACTGGGTCATGTACCATCTACGGCACTTCGAAATTTGCCGATGAAAATTTTACTCTCACACATGACCGTCCCGGTTTATTAAGTATGGCTGTAAGTCTGAACATCTCGAGACTGGGGTATCTATCCACACATAAAAGGACCCTTCACTGACAGCAATAGAATTCGGGCCCAAACACCAATGGCTGCCAATTCTTTATAACAACCACGGCTACACCATTCTTGAACAACAAGCATGTAGTCTTCGGCCAGGTGATTGATGGGATGGATATCATCAAAATGCTTGAACACACCCGGACCACTAAAGATAAGCCCAACCAAGATGTAACGATTGTGCAATGTGGAGAGATGTAAGAATAATTTCGATGGGGGTGATATTTGGGAAACAGCTACGTCCTACAGATCTATAGCTCCCAGAATTGCAAGAAATGACTTTGAATCATGGAAATATATCAATTTCATATGGCTTTAGTAACCAGGACTTTTTTTTTTGGATATTTCATAGTGGTTGGCACAGACGTGATATCTTCCCCCGAACAAAAAAAGACTTCACAGAATCCTGTTCTCATATCTAGAGCTTGAACTTACTCAAGTAGTCCGCAGCCAGTGAGATAGCCTCCTCGACCTTGTCAGGATTGGTACCGTTACCAATGGAAGTAGGACCCTTTCCTCCGGCTTTTCCTCCCACGGCGCCAGAGACGACGGCCGCCCATTCGCTTGCGGAAGCACCTTGGTCACTCAGTCCCTGTGTCTAAATCAGCATAAAAATCCAAAATAATAATATTCCACCATTCCTTCCCCTAAGATTCAAGAGGGATAAGACTGATGTATCCTGTTACTCACCTGAGAGATATAACATCCGTGTGAAACACGACCTTGTTCAGAGTCGGCCGCCAAAACATAGACACTCTTGCCCTGCATTTTTGATTTGACATGGTTGAGAGATTCACTGACAGCCTTGGCATTGGCAGAAATCGGAAGCTCGACCACAAGCCACGACTTATCTTGGTTTTCAGGATCCTCGAAATAGGAGTTAATAGTATCGAGTGCTTTCTTCGATTCTAGTTTTTGTTGGGCCTTCTGGCCATCGAGGACCTGCTTATTGATCTTGGCAAAACGTTCACGGAACTTGGCCTTGACGACGGCGGAGATTGCGAGCTGGTTGAGATCCACCTGGACTTGCTTAGCCTCCTGCTCCTTCTTGGAGCCCAAAGGCAATGCATTCAGACGATCAAGGCGCTGTCCGAATTCCTCGGCAACTCTCTGCACCGCATGTGCGTCCTCTCCAGTGACGGCAATAATTCGGCGAATTCCCTTAGCAATGCCACTCTCTTCCAGGATGATCAAATCCTTGATATCGCCTGTCTTCTGGACATGAGTTCCACCACAGAACTCAATGCTGACCTCCTTCCAGCGGGGATCCTTGATATTCTGCAGGATTTCCTCCAATTCCACGCCGACAGAGACAACACGAACAGGATCGGGGTAAGTCTCGCCGAACACGGCCCGAACGCCGGAAATTTGCTGGGCAGTGGCGAGGGGAAGATCTTTGGAGTAAACAGTACAGTTCTGTCGAATATATTCAGTCGCCTTGGCTTCGATCTTCTCGAGCTCGGCGTCAGAGATTGCGCTCTTGTGGGAGAAGTCAAATCGAAGCTTCTCGGCGGCCACCAGGGATCCCTTCTGGTCAATACCATCGCCTAGGATTTCCTTCAAAGCGAAATTCAGGATATGGGTTCCGGTGTGGTTATTCCGAATGGGCCAGCGTCGGAGCTCATCATACTCGCAAATCACAGAATTGCCGACAGTAAATGATCCGTATTTCATGAAGCCGGTGTGGAGAACGTATCCAGCATAAGACTGCACATTGCCAACTTCAAGCTCCGCTTGTCCATCAATGATGATTTTACCTGTATCATATTCCTGGCCACCCTGTTCGGCATAGAAGTTCGTGCAGTCGAGAATGACGCCAAGCTGTGCCCCCTCGGGAATATCGCCAGTGCTATTATGGAAAGTCTTTCCATGGTAGATAGCCTTGACGCGAGAAGTGATGTTACCGCGGCCAAATTTGGGCGAGTCATCAGTTTTTTGCACGTCGTTCATTTTCTCCAGATTGCCTAGATCGTGGACATCAAGCTTGACTGTGTCTTCGGCAGCCTTCTTCTGACCCTTGCTAGCTTCCTTTGCCTTCAAGCGAGCCTCTTCAAACTCGACGTCGTCAATGCGGAGGCCACGTTCCTCGGCCATGATCCGGGTCAGATCAACAGGGAAGCCGAAAGTGTCGTACAGTCTCCAGACATCGGCACCATGGAGCACATCGGTGCCCTTGACCTTGGCCTGCTGGGCGTATTGCTCAAATTGTCGCTCACCTCTATCCAAGGTCTTGGCAAATGACAACTCCTCCTCGTCCAAGATTTCGATGACATCTTGCTGCTTGCGTTTAAGTTCAGGGAACATTTCACCCAATTGATCCACAACGGTGGGCACTAGCTTAGCGAAGAAATTCCCGATATCAACCTGGAAATATTTCCGGGCATACCGAGCTCCTCGGCGCAGGACACGGCGAATGACATAGCCACGGCCCTCGTTGTTGGGAATGACACCATCCGAGATAGCGAACATCAAAGTCCGCACGTGGTCTGCAATAACGCGGTAAGCGGTGTCAATTCCATCGACATCATCTGTGCCAAATTTGCCGCGGTATTCACGGGCTCCAGTGGTATCCTGGATAGCCTGGAAGATCGGAGTGAAGACATCGGTATCGTAGTTGGAAGATTTGTCCTGGAGAATCGACACCAGTCTTTCGAAACCCATTCCGGTGTCAACGTGTTTGTTGGGAAGGGCTCTCAGGGAGCTATCCGGCTCGCGGTTATATTGGATGAAGACGTTGTTCCAGATTTCCAGCACATTTGGGTCGTCCTCATTGACGAGGTGAGCAGCGTTGCGCCCACCGATCCGATCATAGTGCACTTCACTGCAAGGTCCACATGGGCCTTGGTCACCCATTTCCCAAAAGTTGTCTTTCATATCTCCGGGAAGAATGTGAGACTCAGGAACGCCCACCGATTTCCATAGTTCTTTGGCTTCCAGATCTGGTTCCAATCCACCAGCTTCGTTGCCCTCGAAGTAAGTAACGTAGAGGCGTTCGGGGTCCAGGCCGTAGACTTCCGTCAATAGAGTCCACGAATATGTGATAGCTTCTTTCTTGAAGTAGTCGCCGAAACTCCAGTTGCCGAGCATCTCGAAGAAAGTCTAGGCTTCGTCAGTACTTCTTGTGGCGAGGGATAGAAAGGGGATTCAATACTGACATGGTGATAGCTGTCCTTGCCAACATCATCCAGATCCTGTTTCAGGTCAGTCAGTGTACCAAAGCCCCTCCAACAGCCCCTCTAGGGTTTACCAAGGCACACCCACGTTATGTTTTCCACCGGCACGGAGACACTATTCAATCATGTTAGCAACGGTCCCAAGTCGAATATTTCCGTGATGGTGATTATCCAATACCTTTTGCGAATTCGTTGCGCGCTTCATCTTTCCAAACTCCGACGAGGCGTCAACGGTGCCCAGGAAGATGGACTTGAACTGGTTCATTCCCGCATTGGTGAAAAGAAGAGTCGGATCCGACAGAGGAGCGACGGGGGAGGAAGGGACTGTATCCAAGAATAACTTCAAGTCAGTTCATGTCGTTGGCGGGGGTGGAGGGGTAGTGCAAAAAAAAAAGAGAGAATGGGTTCAACGCACCGAATGTATGGCCATTTTGTTTAAAATAATCTAAAAAGGTGTCTCGGACTCGCTGAGCGGTCCATTCCGAACCGAGAGAAGTCATCCTGTCGAATTTGGGAGGGTTGGTTGACTGGGAGTGAACAAAGCGAAGGTAAAAGGGTCTGGGTTGATTTCTGCGAAAGAGATGAGTCAAGGCCCGTTCCCCGTTCGTCACCACCCCAGAAACCCGCATCGAGCAACGAATTGAACTTGACCCCAGTACACCTAGGAGGAATCCAACCACTTATTTTTTTAAAATCACACACTTCCCAATACTCGAGAGAAAGAGAGAGAGAGAGAGGAGATGACGGGTGAGGGAGGTCACGGGAAGAAGCGCCCGGCCCCAGATGACCCCGATGTCGCGCAACCGTTAACGAAGAGATTTGGAGGCCTACGACTAGGTAGGTTGATCTTGAAGGTGTGGAAGTTATCAAGCTAACATATTTCTAGATAATAGCCTGCCAATCTCCGCTCGGGCCCAACCCAAGGGGCATATTCAGCACCAGCATATCCATAACCAGCAGAACCACATTGACCATCACCAATTTAACCAACTTAACCAAGGGCGTTCTTCCCCCGAACCAATGCTCTTGGATGACACCAAGCATACGACTTACATTCACAACCTGGATCAAGAATTAATCGAAGACGACTCTCCTGGTTTGGTCTTTGCACCATTCGCGGAGAAAGTCCTCTCAGTCCCTCAATCCGTCCTATCCGACTCGAAATCCTCGGGAAAAGAACTCGTTCTTTATACGGAACCATCTTCCCTGACGGTGCCCAGGGAAAAAGATAATGTTCGAAAGGCAATTCTTGAATCTCGAGCACGAGCTAGAGGGAAGGTTGAGAAGGATGAAGTTACGGAGAATGAGGATATATACGATCCAATGGATATTGATTAAAGGAATATAGTACGGATGTACAATATGGGTAATTAAGCTAGTGAATTGTATAATTTTGTACCTTTTTCACATATCGACGTGTATAATGTATGTGATAGTACATAGGAGTACATAGTAATACTACGTGCTCATTAAAAGGTACATTTACGTAGGATATGTGTATGTAGTATGTAATATACACGGTATTTGGTAACCGGAAACACGTGACTCACCGCTAAAAAAATTCTGGTTTTTTTTTTTGTGGCACCGACTAAATATGCACTCGGCTTGATAAAAAAATTTCCTCTCTCCCCCACCATCCCTCTTCCCATCCCTCCCTCAAAATCACATATACAAATTCATAATGGCCGATTCTGAGGTTTACGACGGTGCCGTCGGTATCGATCTTGGTGCGTCTTAACACTATCAAATTCGATCGCACAGTTGCTAATTGCCTTTTTATAGGTACCACCTACTCTTGCGTTGCCAACTACGAGGGCACCAATGTCGAGATCAGTACGCTTTTCCCCCAAAATTCGATCTCTCTCTCTCAAATACTGACTGTTTAATCAGTTGCCAACGACCAGGGTAGTTACACTACCCCCTCCTTCGTCTCTTTCACCGACAAGGAGCGTCTGATTGGTGATGCCGCCAAGAACCAGGCCGCCATGAACCCTGCCAACACCGTTTTCGATATCAAGTGAGTACTTGAAGAAAAAATTCGCGCCTATCAATTCGAGATAATGCGCATTCTCCACAATTCCAAATTGGTACTAACTCGAATGGAACAGGCGTCTGATCGGTCGCCGCTTCGATGACCCCATCGTCAAGAAGGATGTTGAGTCCTGGCCCTTCAAGGTCATCGACCAGGGTGGCAACCCCGTTGTCCAGGTCGAGTACCTCAACGAGACCAAGGTCTTCTCCCCCCAGGAGATCTCCTCCATGGTCCTCATGAAGGTATGGCAAACTATATATTTGAAAATTTGTGGGATTGGTTTGCTGACTACTTGAAACAGATGAAGGAGGTTGCTGAGATCAAGCTCGGCAAGAAGGTTGAGAAGGCTGTCATCACCGTGCCCGCCTACTTCAACGACAACCAGCGTCAGGCTACCAAGGACGCCGGTGCCATCGCTGGCCTCAACGTCCTCCGTATTATCAACGAGCCTACTGCTGCCGCTATCGCCTACGGTCTCGGCGCCGGCAAGTCTGAGAAGGAGCGTAACGTCCTCATCTACGATCTCGGTGGTGGTACCTTCGATGTCTCCCTGCTTAACATCCAGGGTGGTGTCTTCACTGTCAAGGCCACCGCTGGTGATACTCACCTTGGTGGTCAGGATTTCGATACTAACCTCCTTGAGCACTTCAAGAAGGAGTTCCAGCGCAAGACTGGCAAGGATATCTCCGGTGATGCTCGTGCTCTCCGTCGTCTCCGCACTGCTTGCGAGCGTGCTAAGCGTACCCTGTCCAACGCTACCCAGACCACCGTCGAGATTGACTCTCTCTTCGACGGTGAGGACCTTAACTCCTCCATCACCCGTGCCCGTTTCGAGGACCTCAACGCCAAGGCCTTCAGCGGCACCCTCGACCCCGTCCAGCAGGTCCTCAAGGACTCTGGCATTCCTAAGAGCAAGGTTGACGAGATCGTCCTTGTTGGTGGTTCCACCCGTATTCCTCGCATCCAGAAGCTCCTGAGCGACTTCTTCGATGGCAAGAAGCTCGAGAAGAGCATCAACCCCGATGAGGCTGTCGCCTACGGTGCCGCCGTCCAGGCTGGTATCCTCTCTGGAAAGGCTACCTCCGCCGAGACCGCTGACCTGCTCCTTCTCGATGTTGTTCCCCTTTCCCTTGGTGTTGCCATGGAGGGTAACATCTTCGCCCCCGTTGTCAACCGTGGCCAGACTGTCCCCACCATCAAGAAGCGCACCTTCACCACTGTTGTCGACAACCAGAGCACTGTCCAGTTCCCCGTCTACCAGGGTGAGCGTACCAACTGTGCTGACAACACCTCCCTGGGCGAGTTCACTCTTGCTCCCCTTCCTCCCATGCGCGCCGGTGAGGCCGCTCTCGAGTGTGTCTTCGAGGTTGATGTCAACGGTATCCTGAAGGTCACCGCCACTGAGAAGACCTCCGGCCGCACCGCCAACATCACCATCTCCAACGCTGTTGGCAAGCTTTCCAGCTCCGAGATCGACCAGATGGTTGACGATGCTGCCAAGTTCAAGTCCTCCGATGAGGCCTTCACCAAGCGCTTCGAGTCCCGCCAGCAGCTCGAGTCTTACATCTCCCGTGTTGAGGAGATCGTCTCCGACCCCAGCATGTCCATGAAGCTCAAGCGCGGCAACAAGGAGCGCATTGAGTCCGCTCTCAGCGACGCCATGGCTCAGCTCGAGGTTGAGGACTCCACCCCCGAGGACCTCAAGAAGAAGGAGCTTGCTCTCAAGCGTCTGATCACCAAGGCCATGGCCACACGGTAAATGCATACATGGGAAGGCATGAACATAGACTTATGGCCAACGAATTTTCCTTTTTCCCGGGACTCTGCTTCTCAGGGAATCTGCACCATGTAGACCTTGGGCAGAGTTGGTCTCTGTCACGCTTTGTTTATGAAGCCGGGCAACTTGGGCGCAGTTTTCTTTTCTTGAAAAGTACGATTTGTTTTGTTTTTTGTAGACGAAGTTCGCCATCTGCAATTTAATGACATTGTGATGATTTCCTCTCAAAAGTAATACTCGATATATTTGGTAGTTCTAATAACGTATGATTTTTGGCCGAGAGGCGGAAAGGCGGGTAACGTGAGATACCTCAGAACCTGTGCGCCTCCACTCTTAAACCCTTCTACATCAATCACTTCCACCATGCAACGCATTGTAACCCAATCAATTCGCTCCTTTAGCCCTCGTCTTGCTGCACGCCCTCAAGGGACTCAGGCGCTCCGACCTTTATGTCTTCTACCCCAAACCCCTCACGCTGTTCCTCTGAACCGGCGTGAGTTTGCCAACTCGCCTGCCCTATACAAGAAGAAGGACAAGGCTAAGAAAGCTTCTGCTTCTACTTCCGAGCCAGAGGAAAGCTCTAGTGCCCCTGCTGAAGATCCCTTTGATCTTTCCCAGTTACACAAAGGTATTTCCACAGCTGTTGCTCGGCTCAAAGATGATCTGTCCAAGCTTCGCGCAGGAGGACGGTTCAATACCGCGGTCCTAGAAAGCTTGAGGGTCCACCTGAGCAAAGAGAGCAAAGACTCAGTTAAATTGGGAGATCTAGCACAGGTTGTGCCCAAGGGAGGACGCATGGTTACTCTGTTGGCGGCCGAAGAGGATGTAAGTTCATGACGCTCGATTTTTCTTTCTTGTTTATTGCAGCATGAGCCTGCAGCTGTCCCTACGAAGCAGTTCTAATAAATTTCGCGTAGCACTTGAAACCTCTGACTTCAGCGATCGTCTCCTCAAACCTCTCCTTAACCCCTCAGCCTGATCCTCACAACGCCCTCCAGCTCAACATTCCTATCCCACCACCTACAAAAGAATCCCGGGACAAGAACATCCAAGCTGCCAAGCAAGCTTTCGAAAAGGCCGCCGGGTTAGTACGTGACTCTAGGGGTGCCATGCACAAACGTCTTCAGGATATGCAGAAGAAGAAACTAGCTCGGCCAGATGACGTGCGCAAAGCTCACGATCAGATGGAGAAGGTTACAGACCAGGGCCAAAAGGAGGTGAAGGATGCATTTGAAGCGGCCAAGAAGACATTGGAGCAGGTATAGGAAGCCCAATTGGCAAGCCAAGGGAAGATTATGAGAAAATTATAGCCTATGGCAATGGGCGTTTGTAATATAAAAATTTGTATATCCAGGTACAGACAAAGGCATAATCGGGGAAGATATGGGAAGAACATAAAAAAAGGAAAATGAACCCGATCAATGAAACAAATATAATACAAATCACTTCTAGCTAGTTCACATATCCTTAGGTGCTCTTGGTCTTAGCGTTGCGGCCAGCAGAGACAAGAGATTCAATCTTGGCCATGAACTGTGCGGTCTTTCCGGTTGTCTGGTAGGTACTGTTGTTCCTGAGGTTCTTCGACACCTCTCCCAATACGGCATGTCCATCTTTCCCGACTTCAGACGCGGGGTAGTTACCCTGAACGAATGTTTCTAAGAGAGACTTGGTGGTCTCTGCGTCGATTGGGCTAAACTCGACATTCCGAGGCTCCACAAGGTCACCCTTGCGCTGTGAAATTCGATCAGCACGAAGCTGAGACAATCGCTTGATCTCTTCCAAAGCCTCAGTTTTCTCATTCTCGCTAGTGAAGAGAACGTTCTGGCCCTTCCACATGCGTCTTCCAAGCTCATAGGGCGGGATATAGCCATTGCCAACACGGCCGCTCAGGCTGGAAAGCTTCTCATAGATGGCAGCCGAGCGCGAGTTCACGTCTGTGGGGATTGAAGGCCAGGTCTGTTTCAAAGTAGAGTAATTGATCTCCTGGGGCTCGTAGCGAATCGGGGTTGGCCGGGATTTGATGATTTGCTCTTCCAGAACTTGGTCGATAGCTGCACCTTCGGCATCTTCGCCATCGTCGTGCTCGGAAGTTCTGGCGCTCCTGCGCGGGCCATTTCGGTTGCCCTTGGCACCCTTGACACCTTTGGCGCCTTTGGCGCCTTTGGCGGAGGGTTTGGGTTTGCGATTTTGGGGTTGATCGCCGCCACGAACGTTGCGTGTTCTAGGGCTGCGGATAATCTTAGACTGCTCTCCACCGCTAGCTCGTGCTGCCGCAAAAGATCTGGCATCAATTACTCGAGGAGGCCGAGATTGATACTGGTTGGTGCGAGCTGGGGGTCCATTGGGGTTGCGAGGTGGGGGGGCGTTGGGATCGCGAGGCTTGTAGGACATAAAATTGCCCGATGAAGGGCGGGTATTGGGTTTAGGCTTGTCTAATGGTCGTGTGTTAGAATTAAAACGTCCAATGGCGCAATTATTTTGAGGCGCAATTGCATAATTGTATTTATCTTGCCCAATGCCTGCTTCCCTTGGATGTACCTACCGGATGGCTTGTCTTGACCTTCGTCGGCCACTGTACGGGTACAGGAGAACTGGCGAGCCGGGGTAGAAAGGCCAATTTTCGCCCGTTCACAGTGCAGCGAAATCTGCCTCAGCTGTGGCCGAAACATCTTGTATTCTGAATGAACCAGGTCGTGTCCCTGGAACGTTTTGGTAGTGAGACTCGATGCTGTTCGCCGTGGAAAGATTGAATGAGGAATTGCAGTCACGTGAGGCACCGCCTTCCTCTGGCCGCCGCTCAAGTAAACACAACCATAGTCAATTTGGAAATCTTCCTTGATTTATTTTGATATTTTTGACTGCCAAAATGCTTCGTCGAAAGCCAACAGCTATTGCTATTACCTCGGAGGATATTGCTGCCTTTGAAGAAGCTAGACTTCGCAAACTGTCTGAAGAAAACAAACACCCAGAACAGCACGCAAAGGCGACCTCCAATGTCAACCTTGACCCCAGCGATGAGTTGAAACCACTTCCAGGTGACAAGGCTAGGATTGTGCGGACACGTGAAGAAAGAATAGGCATTAGTCGACGTGGTTGATTCGACCTCGGGCCCCCATACCCACCGTTGCATGTTGGAATGACTTGCTCCACGCTGCGACACTTCAACATGAGGTACATGACCCAATCGTGATATGCTCGCATGTATTTCTTGATCCCTGAATCGCCTGAATCACTCCTTTGAGTCATGTCATTCACCATTAACAAGAAACAAATAGTGCAGGATCTTTGGCGTTGAAAATATGACACTCGTCACATACATCACACACCACACCCTCGTATGACAGCGAGCGATCGAACAATCATAGAGCGCGGTGTCTTCTAAGCACCATATGATCATGGTCTTGATAGGGCATGGGGTTTGCTCTCCCAATATCTACCAGTACCCTGGCATATCCCACCATTTCTCCTATGGTGACCCATTGGTTAGAACGGTGATTCAACACTACAGAAGCGAAGTGGCGGATTTGGAACATTTCCTTGACAAAGCAGCAGCAATGTGCACTACTTTTTTCATCTCTCGGGCATCTTGACAAAAACCGATGCTCTAAGCGACCTCTCTCTTTTGGCATATTCCGATATTTTTGTTCTGATCAGAGACTGTAGCTTAAAATGGACATAAAGCAACATATTGAAGAGCAAGAACAAACTGAGATTCCCTTCAGTATAGAACAAGTACTATATTACCACCGCTCTACCGAAATGCCCAGCAATCTGAATAGTGTTTTTCCGAAACTGTCAATTCTTCTCTAGATTCAGTCCACCAAAGAGAATCAATTAAAACAAGTTTATGATGTACAGCAGGATTCATGCATCAACTATCATCCCAGCCCGGCTGGTCAGAGACATCTTGATGGTTGACCATCTCTACCCTCTAACTTTCCTCGTCCATGCTTATGCTTCTGGCGGCCGTAACGTAAAAAGAAAACAAAGGAAATATTTCACAAAAGAAAAAAGAAATAGGGAATATAGAGTGGCAATAGCAAAGGTAGAGGTTTCGGATTTCAATGGCAATGGTTGCCTGGGATAGTTCAAGAACCAGCAGCAGAAAGAGGAAGAATCCGGCGACCGAATGGGATAGAATCGAAGTCGTAGATGATATGGGTATTTGTACGTCTCATCCTCGTTGACGCTTAGACATATTGTCCGGGCCAGGATCAACTGAATAATTCCATCGCCGTTTGGTCCCCTGTGGATCGTACACACTCGCAACACTTTGCTGCCATTCTCGTGCTGAAAACACAACTGGAGGTGCTTGGAACTGGGGAGGGGAGAGAGACTGGGTAGACGTGATAGAAGGCACTTTGTTAGGTGTCTCGTACTGGACGGGGTATTGGGGGTTCATAACGCTTTGTACACCCGGTACTGAGGTGTTTATAGGCATCGGCGGGGAGTTTGCGCTGACGGTAGCGGGGTTCACGGAGAAGGCCATGTCCCATTGACTAGATCGAAAGATTAGTAAGAGACCAAGCGGGAGTCGAGTTGTTGGGAGAAGTGGATCATGGACGTACGTGATGATTCGGGTCGGGTCCCATTGGTGTTCATCAACCGAAGCGGCTTCCATGGGATGAGTTGTCGGAGGCTGATGGGGAACCATTCCAAGAGACTGTATCTGAGAAGATGTGTCGGACTTCGAGTCTTCAGCATCAGTCGAAATTGGAGGAGTTACTGGGTTGTAACGCACTCTGGATTGGAGTTGATTCAAGTGTGGATGGTAGTGCGCATCCATAGGTGGACTGGGCTGATAGGGTTCCGAGGGACTCCCGTATGGGAAACTGGGCTTCAAGTCGAAAGGACGATGCATGTCGGCGGAGAAAGCCAGTCTTAATGAATCGATCTGAGCTTGAATTTCAGGCATGGGCCAGGCGGTGGAGCACGTCTCGAGAATTCGCATATGGCGGGTGAAGAATTCACGGGCATCCGAGTTGAACTCAGGGTCGGGGGAGGTAATCGCAATCTGCTCATATTAGAATCGCCTTGCTGCTAAAGACTCCCACGCGTTGTTGAATGCTTACCAGGTGTAGCATCGTACAAGTCAAGATACAATATATGGCAAAATTGATACCTCTTTGCATGTAAAGCAGGCCAGATAGCCCAAACCTTTGCAAGATGGCTTCTTGTAGTCGACAGAGGCTTTTCGCCGAGGAGTAGCACAGTGACATATGGATCTTCCATTCACCACCGGCTGCAAAAGATTGAGAAGCGAACAGTTGAGGGCGATGTAGCATAATAATGGCGAGATGGCAATGAGAATGCATATTGCCCACAAAATGAGATGGAAGCCACGGTGGAGAGCCATCGGTAGGATAATTGACCTGTAGGTCCGGAGGGAGGCTGCGAAGCCAATCTGCGAAAAGCGGGTTGATTCGCACAAATCTGGCATCTGCACCCCAGTCCTTTTGCTTCTTGACTTTGTGATAGATATCTGTAATGATGCGAATGTGATGTGCGTTGCGAATGAAATAGGCGTATTGTCTTGAGCGGTCCATCTCGTAATGATCGAGACCTCTGATATCTGGCGCCGGGCGCATATCCACTGTTTGAGGATCGACCCCGTAATCCGAACGGCCTACTTTGATCAGAAGCTGGTTGATTTTGACAAACCAGGCGGAATAGACTTACCTTGCGGCCCACCAATCATCACCTCAACCACCATGAGAGCCTGCCACACTCTGGTGTGCACCAAGCATTCAATTGGACCGAGTCCACACGGCTTGCCTTCAGCGTGACTGCTGTAATGTTCGTGGATGTCCAAATCTTTCGCCATTGATACAATAGTCTTGACAGTCTGCCACGACCGATAATAGTACCCTTTCTTTGGCAAAGACTCCCGTGCTTTTAGTAGCAGAAGTAATGCCTGGATAGTACTCAGACGTGGTACATCCATAAAGCTAGTTTCGTGCCCTAGGAAATGTCAGCTTTCTAAGATGGCTAGATGAATGTTTAGTGTCGACTCACTATTTGCCAAGGCAAGCCACTGAGCGCCTTCTGAAGGCTCATCAGATAAACGGCCCGCGCATGCAAAAAGGGCCTCGAGAAGAAGGGGGGAGATGGAATGGCGATCATGCTGCCATTGATAATACAGATGGGCACGAGATATGACAGGAACATATGGGTGTATCTCATCAAAGTAGATCTTGAAATAGGCCATTACGTCGTCTTCGGCAGGCATGAGCTCAGGGGGAATTCGAATCGTCGCACCCGATCCGGTTCTGAGAGGTGGTAATTGCTCTTCAGCCTCATCCTGGACAGGGGCGTCGGGCTCAATTCGATCTGTGCGTTGCCTTCTAATGTATGGGGCTATTGAAGGGGGGTGGAGTGTTAGCCAGTAGTCGCGGGAAAATCCGTAGAAGAACAATGTGCCATACCAATCCCACTCTCGTCAATCTTCAACTCCCCAAGTACATCACTAAGGTTTTCTGCATGCTCGTTATCGGCATACATATTCCGATCTGACGATCCCATAGATGGAGTTTGTGGCCCGGGAAACATTTGAGGCTGTTGAAAATTTTGGTGTGGCATTGCCATTTGTGGTGACTGAAGATCGTTGTAGATGCCAGGTTGAGCCTGAGGAGGGACGAATTGGGAATACATGCTCATTTGATCATACGAGGGGATTGTGTTCATGGTGGGTTGACTGTTGTCTCTGTAAACTGGGGGCCCTGGAAATGTATGAGAGCCCTCGTCTGCATTGGAGGGTCCTCCAGTCTCTAGAGTAGACTCGCCCTGGCCATCAGGGAGAAAGTCTCCATCTTGCCCGATGGTCGGAGGCACGCAAACCAGCTTTAGACGAGTGCATGCAGAGCAAGGCCACGTATTTGTCGTAGCTGCGTCGCACTTGATTTTCCTTTTCCGGCAACCGTTACAGGCTCGCATCACTAAATGTCAAGCTTATTAGTTTTTGTTGACTTGCGATGGACAGCTTTCCCTACCCTTCAGCCTCTTGTGTCGGTTGTGCTCATCAACGAATACATAGTCTACACGGATGAGTGATTAGCTGCCAATGCAACATGCAAGAAACAGATGGTCCTCGGGGCATACTTTTTTGGCCTTCTCTCGGGGGGCCCGCTGGGGGCGCAAACGAATAACCTTGCATCCTTGCCCGTTTGATAACAAGTGGCGGGTTTGGAAAACGGTGTAAAGTACGACGGTAGAGATAACTCAAGCTGGGACTATCAGGGTATCAAGGGAATAAAAAGTCCGTACTGGGTCTATCCACAAGGACCTGCCTCGGGAATTTGCCGCGAGTGATCCAACTGCGCCGTGAGAGACGAACTCCAGGTTGTCCTAAGGATGCGATCGACTTGCCGAGGCTCCGCAGAAATTGATCGGCAGAAGTCACAAAAGACCCGAGACGTAATGTTTTGTGAGGTAGTTGGAAGATTTGCGCTCTCGGCAAACCGAATGCAATATATATCGAAGCGCGCGAGGCTTGACACCGAGATAAAATCAGGTTGTCTTGGGGCTCGAATGTAGGTGAATAAATAGTTTGCTGCAACAAGCGCAGGGTCCAATTAGCGTCCCACACACACACATATATAATCCAGATCAAATATCACACGGAACACCGAGGTGCTTACAATTGTAAAAGGAGTTTCCGGTGCATATCCTTCGATACTAATGTAGAGTACTCCACATTCGAATTAATGAGCCTGGCGCATTGCATCTCAATTGGGGAATGGAAGAAGCGAGCATTAGGAAGAACACGCAAGTGGAGACATAATAGGAACGGGCGAATAAGCTCCTTGAGACAAGAGAAAGGAGGGGAAAATTAGAGCTGTGAGAAAGAGAGAGAGGGAAAGAGAACAGAAGCAGAGGGGTGAGAGGTACGAATGCCAAGTGTGGGAGAGGATCCAATAGCGCGCCTCCGCTGTGGATTTTCCCAGGGTGGAGGGGCGGGTGATTTTCTTATGACCTACATATATTGTAGGAAGATCCGATATTTGATTTATGGAATAATAGGAAATATTATTCCGGCCTATACACATAAAGTAGAGGGATATTTCCCCTGATATTACCTTGAATCAACGCTTCACCTTGCTTATGGAGATTATTGTAATGATTATAAATGTACATAGAATCATATACCTTGGCATGCAATGCCACATAGAAAAGGCAAATAATCCCAAGTATATAAACACAGATTCTAAATATTAAAAAGACACCAAATCTGAAACAAAAAAAGACACGTTCTGTGAAACCATGAAAATAGGCCAAAATTGCCGGGGACACTTCGGACAAAACATGATTTAAAAGCCATCGGCTCGTCGATCATCCCGAGTGGCTGAAATTGTCAGGGGAATTCCGTACAATATAGAACGTTAGTCCTATTATTAGGGGATATGTTAAGATGCTATCAATATCATTAGGGGGATATACTCACCCATTCCCCAAAGTTCTCTAGAGTAATTAGTCAAACTCCAAGAAATCATATATTAAACCCACGATTAAAGACAATGTACTTACCGAGGGCTGGCACGTGAGCCTGATAAGCGTTATCAGCAATTTCCCCCCCCCACCTTAACTCTACCTTCGACCTTGACCACACTCTTGACTCTACCAGATCCTTGCACCCCCTACTTCATCATGGCGGAAATGCAAAATTCAAACCCCACGATCATCAATGCAGCTGATCTCCCCACACGTCTGCGACCGACCGCCACTCGCAAGTCCGAATATGGTGGTATCTTCACATCGGCCCTGCCGCTCGCCCCAGTAGACTTCGATAGTGCCCCGTCATCTGACTCGGAGGATGACAACCTGATGGAGGAGCCTATTGATGAGCAAGAAATCTATGGTAAGACTCTTTCGGACACATGTCTTCAAAAAAAAAGCCCTATCCCTAGAGATGATTGCATAGCTTAGTCAACTAACACAACCAGATCTCATCTCGACAATCTCCGACCCGGAACACCCCATCTCGCTCGGTGAATTAGCCGTGGTCTCTCTCCCCGATATCACAATCAAGCCAACCCTTCCAGACGTCCTTGATTCGCCTTTACAAACTGTCACCGTGCTTATCACGCCCACAATCACCCACTGCAGTCTGGCAACCGTCATCGGTCTCGGCGTCCGCGTTCGTTTGGAACAGTCTCTCCCGTCACGGTTCAGGATGGATGTACGTATTAAGGAAGGTACACACAGCACCGGAGATGAAGTCAACAAGCAGCTCGCCGATAAGGAGCGGGTTGCCGCGGCCTTGGAGAATGGTGCGTTGATGGGGGTCATTGCCAAGATGATGGAGACTTGCCGCTGAAATTTTAAATCCCCCTTTGTACTATAAGCGGGGTCTGATTGCATTGGTGCAATGACGACCCATCACCCGGCAAATAGACCAGGCCCTCTAGTGTGACGACCGCCTACGACGAATGACTTTAGATTTTGAATGACTTGCATTGGAATGAGTATTAGAAGTATGTATGAACTTTGTTACTAATAAGATTGTTGAACACCGGAAGCACTCCCCCTCCCCGTAGCCAATCCTATTTTTTAAGTAGTGAAATTTTCTTCAGATCATGAATCCAACACACCACTTTCCTTCAATCCCTTCCAAAGCTCCGGCTCCAAAAACTTGCTCACAGTAACATCTTCGGCCAGACCCTTGCGCCTCCGTGTCTTCAAGACAAAGTCCCGGGCAGTGGCCATGGCAGGGGCCATCTCTAGGGGCTTAAGTTTGATATCACGGTCTAGTGGATCACCAGGAACCACGCTCCACTTATCGAACGCAAGGTTTACCATAGCCTGACCTTGTGTGTGAATTCGGAGATCGGTCTCAAATCCAAACGAGTCAATCACGGGGATCAATCCACGTACAGAGTAAAGAGGTGTTCCCGCAATAGGACCGTCTGACAGGACGTGACCTCTTCGGCGAGACAAGACTGTGTATACCGAGGCCACGGCGTCTGCAGGTCCTGTCATTGTGCAAGAATAGATCGGCTCCATGAGACGTGGGGACGCCATGAGGAAGGAGGAGTAAACAGCTCGGCGGGCTGTGGGGATAATCTGGCCTCCACCGCGGTAGATAGCCTGATCGGCCAGGGAGACGTCTGTGAGCCTGAACTTTGTGTTTCGAATGGCTAACCTTCAATTAGTGTCACATTCATCATTTTCACCGAGACTACAAGATCACTGGCGAATGAGGGGAGGGAAGTCAAAACTTACGTTCTTCACAAAGAGGGCCTTCCCGTGTACCCCAGCTGAAGCCTTGAGTGATAGAATCCCTGACAGTACCGAGAAGTTTCTTATCCACTTGAGAGGGTAAAGTGTCATCTTGCAGTATATTGGGACCCATTTCATCCGGGCCAAACGCCCAGATGCTTCGGGCGGCAAGCTTATCCCAGTCGTAATTGTCCTCGAAGTATCGAGCGACCTTCCGAATGGGATCCTTGATACTGACTTTACCGCTTTCAATATCTTCTGCAATCCCATCATCTAGAGGCTCCGCAATCATCGTGATCTTATTCTTCTTATTCGGAGTGATCGAGTAACACATGATGGCTGAGGTTTCCACCACAGTCTCACAGAAGCGTGTAACGGGGTCAGATACCTTGATCTCCATCTCTGAATATAGTTTCCGGAGATCATGGAGCACACAGTCCATGTAAAGCTCGCCAGTTCCTAGAACCACATGCTCACCGGACTCCTCAACCTTGGTTGAGATGAGGGGGTAGCTCTTATTGATTTTCCGCAATCCATCCAACATCTTGGGAAGTTCTGATGGATTGACCGGCTCAACAGCGACCTTAAACACTGATTCGGTCATGTGCCGAATTGGGCGGAAGATGTACGCCTCCTCGTCATCTTCGAGCTTCAGGGGCACCAGCGTCGCAGTTTTGACAATAGAGTTGTCGACACCACCCAAAAGAACCCAGTTTCCGGCGGGGACACCGGTGGTCGGGATGTTGTAACGCGTTTCCGCAATCCACGTGTCGGAGATGGTTGCTACTACCATGTCTTCCTCATCTTCCGGCGTGTAGCCCTCACCGAGGACACGGACCTGCTGACCAGGCCGCGCTGTGCCACTCATAATTCTTCCAAACGAGTAAAAGCTTTTAGCATCGGTACTGCTGAAGAGTTTGGTGACATGGATAACCAGAGGTCCGTCTTGGTTACAAGCGAGCATTGAGGCCCCAACATTGGTATCCAAAGGCCCAGTGTAGTATCGCTCCAATGCCCTCTCGGCGCCTTCCACCGGGGAAGGAACATGCTGAACAACCATGTCCACAAAGCCGGTGGCGGGTCCAAAGAAGTTTTCGCAGACCAGACTGAGCAGCTCCTTGGCATCGGTCTTCAGCTGAGATGGCTTCAGATTGACGCCGACGCTAGCTAGAGTCTGTTTCAAATCCTCGGGGCTTTCGCTCAGTGTGTGAGAGTAGAGCTTATAAATCGGCTCCAAGACAAACTTGACAAATGATCGCTTTGCGTTCTCCTCCACTCCTTTGCGAGTGAACTTTCGGCTCTGGGGATTGTAGAAGACGTCACCCCAAAGTCGCGTAGCAAATTGTGTCGAGTCCAGGCTCGGGTAAGTGTCTGCGTACATCCGGGCAAATGACTGCAATGTAAAGCACCAGTTCATCGAGCTTGATGCGAATGCAACATTGCCCTTCTCGGGACTCAGTCGTCGTCGCTCGCCTTGTCCGGGTAAAATGTTCTCGATAATCGTATTCACCTCCTCGATCACATGCTTCAGTTTGAAATAGGCATCATTGGGAGGAAGCTTGAGCTCAAGAATGAGTCGATCCATCTTGTTAACGACCAAGGTCAAGGGGAGATCCTCCAATACTGCATGCTTGATAATTTGCTCAGTATTCGCCTGAACACCTTCGACAACATCAACGACCAGTACCACACCATCAGCTAGGCGGATAGAGGCAGCCACCTCATCAACAAAATTCACATGCCCGGGGGTATCAAGGAGGTTGAGCAGGTGAGATTTGCCTTTAGTGCTTGGAAGAACGAGGGTCATCGGTGCCGACTTGATTGAGACACCGCGCTCTCTCTCTAGGAAATGGACATCGGTGTATCGCAATTGTTCTTCTCTCTTCCGTCCTGTGCGCTTCTCTAGCCGCTCTGTTAGGTCGTGTGTCTGTTTGACCAGCATATCCATGAAAGCAGTCTTTCCATGGTGCAAGTGACCAACGATCGCAACATTCCTTGTCTGTGCTGGGAAGTTCAAGAGATCAGACATGAACTCTCGAGAGAAGTGTACGGGTGGGAGTTCGGTCTCTGCGATCGCAAATTTCTTCTGCTGGACGGGGGCAATGATGGGCTCCGATAATGGCTGCGCATCTTCCTCCTGGACCATGGTTTCGACATCCTCGCCGTAAACTTGTTGTGCGCTGGGGTAGTATTGCTTGTCTTCGTGTAATATGACCGCATTGGAAGGTCCTTCTGGAGATGCGAAATTAGCGAGGTTGCAGATTGCGAATCAGGCATATCAACATACCATCGACTTCCATCAATTGTAGGTCATTTACTTCCTCTTCTTCTTCATCATCGAAAGCCTCATCGAACTTGAAGGCTTGTGGCTGTACATTTTCATGGTGCTCCTCGTCGGATTCGGCATCGCCGATGTAGTTACCGAACCTACGTACAATTAGTAAGATCGTGGATGTAGGGCTAAAGAAACATACTCATCATAGAGGTCATCCATAATGAATGGAGAACGTGAATGTGTGAAGGGAAAAAAAAAGAGGGACCGTAGCTCCAGACGCGTGATGCTGGAGAAGTTGAGGATCTCAACTTTCACTTGGTCCGTGCGTCCTTTCGGAGTACTCGTGCCTACACCGTACAGCTCCTCACTCTCCACCGTACAATTTACTCTTATAGATGCCCCTCCCTCTTTGATCTCTTGTCTCCTTTCTCTTCTGTATATTCTCCCTTTTCTTCTCTACTTCCATAACCGTTCTCTTTTTTTGCCAAAATGTCTTCTCTTCCTCCCGTCTACATTGTTTCTTCTGCCCGTACTCCCGTGGGCTCTTTCCTGGGGTGAGCATTCACGGATTCTTCTGTTTTTTTTTACCCCTGGAACCTTATCTGACATTGGTTACTATAGATCTCTCTCCAGCTTGACTGCTCCCCAGCTTGGTGCACATGCCATTAAGGGTACGACATATCACCCAAACTATACCACCCATCTTCAATACTAATAGTAATTTGTAGCGGCCGTCGAGCGGGCTGAGGGCATCAATGCCTCTGATGTCGAGGAGGTTTTCTTTGGTAACGTCTTGTCTGCTGGGTAAGTTATCTTTGCTACGTCTTATACCACAATTGAGACTGACCTGTCTTCGTTTAGTGTTGGACAGAACCCCGCCAGACAATGCGCCATTGGTGCTGGCCTGAACGAGTCTACCGTTTGCACCACTGTTAACAAGGTCTGCGCTTCTGGACTGAAGGCCATCATTCTCGGTGCCCAGACTATCATGACCGGAAACGCCGATATTGTTGTCGCTGGTGGAACTGAGTCCATGTCCAACACCCCTCACTACCTGCAAACCTCTCGCAGCGGTACCAAGTTTGGCAACCAGACTCTGGTTGACGGTATCCAGAAGGATGGTTTGACCGATGCCTACGGCAAGCAGGATCTTATGGGTGTTGCTGCCGAGGAGTGCGCCGAGGAGCACGGCTTCAACCGTGCCCAGCAGGATGACTATGCTATCCGCAGCTACGAGAAGGCCCAGGCTGCCCAGAAGGCCGGTGCTTTCGACAGCGAGATTGCCCCCATTGAGATCCCTGGCTTCCGTGGCAAGCCCGGTGTGACCATTTCCCAGGATGATGAGCCCAAGAACGTGAGTACCTCTGGTTTCTGCGGTGGATTATTGTGGATTTGACTAACCATTCCTCTCGGTTTATAGCTCAACCCTGAGAAGCTCCGCGCCATGAAGCCCGCCTTTATTCCCGGCACTGGAACCGTGACCGCCCCCAACTCTTCGCCCCTAAACGACGGTTCCGCTGCCGTTGTCTTGGTTTCCGAGGCCAAGGTGAAAGAGCTCGGCCTCAAGCCTATTGCGAAGATCCTGGGTTGGGGTGACGCTGCGCACAAGCCCAGCAAGTTCACCACTGCTCCTGCTCTGGCTATCCCCAAGGCTCTCAAGCACGCTGGTGTGACCCAGGACTCCATCGATGCCTTTGAGATCAACGAGGCCTTCAGTGTTGTGGCTCTTGCCAATCTGAAGCTCCTCGGTCTCTCCGAGGACAAGGTCAACATCCACGGTGGTGCGGTCGCCATTGGACACCCTCTCGGTGCCAGTGGTGCCCGTATTGTGTCCACCTTGCTCGGTGTCTTGAGCGCCAAGGGCGGCAAGCTTGGCTGCGTCGGCATCTGTAACGGTGGTGGCGGTGCTAGTGCCCTGGTGCTTGAGTCCATTTAAAGATAAACTCTGTTAACGAAAAACGGAGATGTGAAACGACCTTTGTTCTTTGCATATGAAATACCAAGTTCATTTTTGACGGGGAAGGTACTTGGTTCTCTGCAGACATACCCCATTCTGCGGCAACGAAAATTCGCAGTATCAGTACCATTTCTCGGTATTTAGAATAATTAATGAGATATCGTTGTGTCATATTCTGCTTCCCACTTGCTTCGTGTTGATATTGATGAAGAGTCGCGGTTTGAGGGCCGGTATTCTAGATTTTCAAGGCTGAGGCACTCAGCTCGTATTCCATCCCCATTTCTATTCTACCCATTGGTCACTGGAATCTGAGCGGCGGTAATATATATCAATAGTGATGGGGGATATATCCATAAACTCATTGCTTATTGGATCATGGATAGCTGTATTAGTGCACTGCCTACGTATACGGGGTAAGGGGTACTTTGATGGTTCAGGAATATATAAAGCAACCACTCTACCCAGGTGAGAAGATGAACCTCGATAGCCTAAGATTATCTATCTCGATATCATTCAAGACCTCAGCCATGATACCTAAAACCGAAAAGGACAATAAGAATATTGAGAAAGCCAGGGCCCTCCAGAATCGTTTCTGGGGAGAGGAATATGAACGAATGATATCGGGGATGCTGTAAGAGATACACTTCCTTTCTAGTATACACTCAAAAGGATCTAATTTATATACAGATACAACCCTCTAGGCCCCGAACTCATAGAGGGAAGGTCTAGAGCAAGACGTTTGATGACTACATTCAATGCACCTGTTTCATCGGAAGCCCCCGAATCGCAAGTAGTCTCTCAGCGAGAAGACATACTTCGAGAACTCTTTGGACGTGTTGGGCAAGGAGTATATATTGAGCCTCCGCTCTTCGTAGACTACGGTTGCAATATCAGTATAGGCACCGGTTTCTATGCCAACTTCCAGTGAGTCGAACTTCTGTAAGCAAAAGAACCAAATCTAACCCGAGCCCCTTCAAGTCTCACTGTCCTGGACTGCGGCCTAGTTTCTATTGGGAATGACGTTATGATTGGTCCTAATGTCAACATCATTACAGGAGAACACGAGACAGGGATCAAAGAGCGAAAGGCACATAAAGGGTTGGAGTTTACGGAACCTATTGCCATTGGCGATGATTGCTGGATTGGAGCGAATGTGACGATCCTGGCTGGAGTCACTATTGGCCATGGATCTTCCATCGGTGCTGGCTCCGTGGTAAAACGGGATATACCAGCCTTGAGTGTTGCAGTGGGTAGTCCCGCTCGAGTTATTAGATCGGAATAAAGAGGAATCAAGTGTTTCACGAGAATCCCCCGGGATGGAGTATATAGCCACAATAATTCCTGAAATGAATAGAGACTATTATTAAACATTTAGAAGAGGAAAGATCGCTTGCTTCGTTAATCTATCAGACGTTATAACCGAGAAATCCCAATCAATAATTAATGCTTTTAAGCAAAGGCTCCGACGAATGCCATGAGGAGAGCACCGCAGGCAACAGATATACAAGCTTCAACACGCCGTCTGCCCTTGAGGGTGTCATAACTTGACTCGCTTAGGAAGTCCTCGGCGAGGAGTTCCACTAGACCCGCGAAGAGCAAAAGACCACTGCTAATCGCATTGGTGATGCCAACCATCAGCAGACCTGTTGCGCTGGCAGGATCGTAGAGATTGTGTAGAACCAAACCGATGGCTTGGCCAAGGGGTGTTGTCGTTCCGTATGCCAGTGACATAAGCCATGGTTTCATGGAATTTGGAGCGAACAGATCCGGTATCAGCGACGCAATCCGCGATCCCAGGGCGAAACCTTCAAAGGTCTGATGGAAACTGATTGCAATCAACAGGACGACAAAGGATGTGCCAGTCGCAACACTGAGCGCCATGCCGATGAAGATGCTGTGAAACAAAATGCCAGCTTCCAAGAGGAGGCATTGCAGAAGCTGACGTTGCGGATTCTGCATTGGCGCATCTGTATCGGTCGGCTGCCGGTGGCTTTCGCTTGCACGGGGTCGATGCCGGTGGACAGGCCGTGACTGCGCGGAATGGGCTGCCTCTCCGCTGATAAGCGCGTCGTCATCCATGTAATCATCCAACCCATCGAGGTCATCCACATCGTCTTCCTTATCAGGTGATGGGTCTGTCAGGTGAAGACGGTCCGATTCATGGTCCGAACCGGAAGCTCTCGTTGCCCGCAACTTGGAGTTGTTCATGCTATCAAGATTGATACTGTCTGAAACCTGCCGGGCCTCTAGCCCCGAGTAATCCACATCTGGATCTCCCCCATCCCTAATTGAGTCACGCCTAGCCTCGCCAATGAGATTATCATATTCGCTTCCGTGCACGTGCTTTGCGCCTTTCATCGCAAAGAACATTTCCACGATCACGACCGCAAAGACTGCTATCATTGCAACGAAACCTGCCATAGCACGATATGTTTGACTCCAAAATCGAGGGAGACATGGGTCGGTGAGAGAGACGAATGCTGTGGGGAGTAGATGGACGAATGCCGTGGCGATCAATACGCCCGTTCCGAAATGTCTCGATATAAAGAGGAACCGACGAGGAATTGGGAGACCGGGGAAACGGCGTGCCAGAACCGGAAAAGAACAAGCTGTCGTAGTTTCAGAATTAGAAAAGGTTAACTGGAGGGATCCGAGAGAAGCTAGTGCATACCGAATGTACTCAACCCAAGGATGAGGAACAATGCCATAACATGCAACGGGGTGTTATAAGACCCGCGATCTTTGGATCCGCATGTCGGTGTATCAGCTGAAGCTCCATCTCGCCGAAGAAGCTCTGCCCGCAAGAGAGCATCGGGGATGTCTGAGATTGCGGAGATGGCACGCTTGAAGTCTGCTCGGAACATAGTTAGAAACCGACCACGATGGATTTGTAAAGATTGCTAACCTGATGGTAAATCCTGCGCATGCTGCATTTTGTTATCTCAAAGCTGTTGAAGCTGTTAATGACATCCCCAGTTGGACTGCCGTGGGGAATGTTTGAGGGTAGGCCGGGTAACGTCAAAGAGATATAGGTAGTCACACAATTGGGTCAACACAAGGGTAGGGGAAATCAACAAGGAAATTAGTAACACATAAGTCTTTTAAAACAAAAAAAAAAAAGCTAGAGGGGTTTGGGACACGCGATAATGTCTCGACTCCGGGCCCCTTGGCTTAGTCATACTGAATCACACGTGGGCAATACGCGTCCTGGGATTTGGTGTTTTACTAAAGTGATATGATATACATGGAAATAGTTGGTATATTAAGCCGATCTGCCTCTACCTGTTGCCCACCTTAGTCCAACCTTTAGTACCTTTAGGTCGGGAAGCATCGCCTTGAGTCCTCCCAGAACGTGTTTTTGAACTTGTAGCTCTGCTGTCTGTGTCCGTTTCTACCCTCGAGGATTGAGAGCCCGAGACAATGCCCTTGGGGGTTTGCGGAACAGATGGCTCAGGTGAATCCATGACCGCATCATCCCATTCTTTTTCTTCTAGCAATTCCCACTCCGCACTGGCCATTTCCCCTTGAAGATTGGACTTCAATTTATCCACAATCTTGGTTGGAGTTGGGAGTTTCCATATTCGCATGAATTCAACTCCTTCCGATGCCCCCAAGAACGAATGTGCCGTGCCATGAGAATAGTGACCCAACATTGGAAAAGAAGTGGTCCGCTGAATTGTTGTTTTGGGTGAATCTTTGGCAGATTTCATCTGTGTCTGTGTGTCTCGGCCGGCAAAAGCTCGCATTAGAGTTGAAGGATGGGCTGGCGGAGCAACCAGCAGTTGCCATAAGCTCTTTCCAATATCGCAGACTTCCTCCCAAGAGTCCGATGAGAGGTTTATCCCTTGGGTTCGACATAACCATGCAACATTCCACGCCAAGAGAGTGGCTCCTTCAAGAAAGAAGGCGTATGTTGCGGGGTCCTCCTTCGCTAGTCGGGCTAGAGGCTTATCAATGAAGAGAGGCCGCGGGTGTGGTGTATGGGTGCGCGAGTCCACTGTCCTTGATGCGGCTGGACTTGACGAAGACTGGTGATCAGCTCCGTCTTGACCGTCGCGCGAACGATATGATGCCGAGGGATTGTAGATTGTAGGCACGGGATAGTTTTTGTGAGGCAATGTAATTTCGGCGGGAAGTCTCAAGGAGAGATAGTGCGACACAATGACCAGAAGATGAGCGATGTTAGAAAAAGAGGAGGATATCTGTTCTTGTGGTATACCTGTACTGGCCCTGTTAGTATGCCACGGGATGAATAACTGTTTGGAAGCGACGGTGAAAACTTGCCATTCATATCCCTCAAATCAACGATAAGACCACTTCCAAGCATATATGTCTCCCGATTTTGGTTCTTTTTCGTAACCTTCCGCAGGCCATAGAGATTGGCGACTTCTCGACAAAGATAGATACGTGACTCTGCCGTCTTGCTATGGAGGGAATGCCAAACGTGTTCCACCCGTTTGCTGGTATTTTGAACGCCCGCCAGAATTCCAGCTTCCCGCTCTTCAAGTTGAAATTTGGCAGATTCGGCATCAGAGCGTCTGCGTGCTAAGGCTTCTTTTCGTTTGGCAATCTCGGCTTTCTTGGCTTCTACCTCTGATTTCAAAGCCTCAAGCTGGTGTGAAACCAATTCTCTCTTTGCCAAAGACACTGCATGTCGAGTGCTTATCGTTTGGAGGACCCAGCGGGGAGAGCAAGGTTTATCCGTATCGAGCAGGTCTTGTTCGTGCGGGGAAGACAAATCACAGGAGCTATCACAGGTAACAGCGACCTCAATTTGCTTTCCAAGGACTTCTTTCTCTAGAAGAACTTGGGTGCTGTCGATTCGTAGTTGATATAGCTCATTGCGGGCACATGTCGGACAGTGGAAAGAAAGGCGGGAATGAGGGACACGTGAGCATATGGAACAGCTCATCGCAGACAATTCGATTTTATTTTCAGCTGTTCTTTGAGAGCGTAAGGGGAATTTCCATGTTGCGTTCGAGGATAATTATGGGTGCTACTTGAGTCGCCGCCGAGAACCATATAGTGGAGTGAAGGGGTCATCAAATAGATGCAAATCCCACATGACTCAAGTAATATGCTGATATAAAGGATACGACCGGCTTCAAGCCCAGCATGTCAAGTTCGCATCACTTAGCCAATGTTTCTTTAGAGAGGAAGAGAAGAAAAGACGGGATGGTGTGCACATGCACTTGTCGACGTCACCTGACGCTCCGTTATCGCGAACCTTATCTTCTGGATAGGAACATCCACGAATCAAAACAAAAGACTTCAGATTCTATTGAATCAATCATTGGTTTTGATATGGATTTGTTCTGATACATCTTTCTACCAGTCAGCGAATTCAGTATGCAGTCAACACCAAACAGGACCAGCAAAATCCCTCGACCGGGGGCAATATCACCCCGTGTCAGTCAAGGAAGCAAAAGCCCTCCAGGCAGTGGGAGCTTCCAAGAGAGCAAGAGCCCTCAATCACCAGTCGAAGCTCGTACATCGACCCATATTCATGATGAGTTTCCACTTGTCTCTGAATTAACACAAGGACTCGAGGACTGCGACTGGGAACAACTTCAAGGGAAATATGCCGATGCAATGGAAGAACACGGCCGAGTAGAAGAGAATCTTCGAGTTGAAACAGCCAAGCTTCTTGAAGTAAGTTTTCGAAGCACATACTACTCGTAATTCTGTATCTGATCAACTGGCAGGTTTTCATGGCATGGTCTCAAACTACCGTTTCGCAAGATGAGAACAGGGCTTTAAAAAGGTTCGACCAACCCAGCTTTGAGCTAAGATATCAACGAACGAATAATTAAATGTTCTACAGGTTTAAGACCCAAATGCAGCATGTTCAAAATTCCGAAGTCAACGTGGAAAACAAAAAGAAGCATTGTAAGTCTTCTCTTACCCTTTTAATTTGAAAACAAGGTCTGATCGCTCGTCTGTTGAAGATGCGGAAGTAGTAAAGGCTTTCCAAAATGCTCTCGCTTTGCTAAACGATCAAATGAAAGTTTAAGCACTTGATGGTCACGACATTTATGACAATTATGAAATTATGTTACTCTGCCCCTTTCATCTGAGAATCGATATTCCAAGACAGGGATTAGATCAGTATGCAAAAAGCATTCATCTTGTATCATCCATCATGTATTTCTCACTTGTATGATGGCTTAAAACTAAAATAAAACCAAATGTACTACAGATAAAGGAAGATACCATTTGAATGCTTGGAGTCATTCAACTGGGACTGCTGGGAACATCACAAATCATTATTGCAGGTAAAAAAAGGGCTATTTAAGCTCTGGCACATATGTGGTCTCGGTGGCTAGAGGCTAGAGGCTCGTAGCCACCATCATCTGTAAGGCCTCGGTGATTAGCCCTGGGAGCGTTCAGTCCGGGCAGCTCTCCCTATGATGTCTTGCCAGCTGGCATTAAAGCGTCTGCCGGTATTCGCCAATAAGCCTTCCTCCTCGGCTTCCTCGGCATCTTCATCGAGCTGCGCTTCATCCAACTGAGGTGAACGGAAAAGGGAAGTAACAAAGACAATCAGATACAAGCCTGCAGTGTTGGTGTTAGATCAATATGAACAAGCAATTATGGTAGCAACGCAACAATATTTAGACATACCTAGGAAGACGAACTGGGCCCAAAAGAACACGACTCCAAAGAATGGGTAGTTCAGGGTGACCCGGTTCAAGAATGTGCTCACGACACTGGGTGTGCACACTTGCTGCGCAGCGGGAGTTTTTGCCAGCTCTGAGCATGGCTTGATAAGTTCTTTGCTGTTTGAGCAATCTGGCTTCCCGATGAAGGTACCCGAATCGCGGTCACAGAATGTCTGTGAGCCGAATGTGGCATACTGGGGGGCGACTACCATCGAAATGGAGTAATTCAGCGCTAGTATGATTAGCATTAACATGGCGGTAGCTAAGAGCAGAGCCTGGGGAGATGTGTGGCCGTTTCTGATTTGGAAAATCCTAATCCATAGGAAGCGGATTCCGACCACAGCGATTCCAACCACAGAACTGCAGAAAAACAGCAATACAAGTGCGGTAAATATGGCGTAGTCAATGGGAAAGAACCTGGCGGATTTAACAAGTGCCCAGTTGACAGGGTTAAAGATGTTAACATGTGCGAGGATGTATCCACAACGATGTTTGCAAATCGAGTTCATGGCTTTGTCGATTGCTGTCAAGAACATGGATACCCACGTGAGGAAAGCAATGAGAAGTAGCAATATGCCTCCCAGGAGCTTGAAGGGACGGAACACTGCTCCGATTTTGTACCATGCCCTCATTAACCAGCTGCGGCCTCCGCCTTGGGATTCTTCGGCAAGACGTTGGCGGCGAATCAGGGTTCTCTCTTCCCGCACCAGTGTATCAAGTTCTCGGCGGTCCTTGGAGGACAGGAGCTCGGGATCTCCAGCACATCGTCCCTCGAGCTGCCGCTGGCGCTCTTGGTTTGTGTCAAGTTGTTGTGCACTGCTCGCTTGCAATGTAGCACTGGAGACTGATGGTGCAGTCTTGATCAAACTGATTGGCAGAAGGGCCAGTCCCACGGATGTGTACAAGACATAAAGACAGAGCCCAATCGTCATCAATAGACCAAGAGCAAAGGTAAGGGCACGCTCGCCATCTTTTAAGAGTTATGTCAGCTCCACGGTTCTGTCAAACCCCAGGATACTCGGATACTCACGGTTTTCAGTCAGTAAGCGCCTGAAGTAATCCAGGTCCATGTCATTATTTCCCTGTGACACTGGCACAAAGAAACCAACTAGGAACAATATAACCACGACTGCAACAAATGAGAGCGTGTATTTGAGGGCACCCCAAATCCGTTGGCCCACAGTTTGCTCGCCCAACTCGGTCGCAACGTCGTCATATTCTTCATACCAGAAATATGTGAAGGGAATGACTAGAAGACAGAGTAGAGCATCCAAGGAATAGAGGAAATAATAGATGATGGTCAATGAATATGTGATTCTGTCCACCACATCCTGTGATGCCCAGTCCTTTCGTTGGCCTAACTTGGACGATGTAGTCGATGATACTAAAGCGACATCGACAGGCAGCAAGAGCACTGTTGCGAGAAGACTAGTAATAGAGATGATGCAAGTCAGAGTGACCGAAGGAGAGCGGTCGCGGGGAGTTTGGTAGACATAGATAAACACCGACGCCACTGCCAGTAGAATAGCTACCACCGCCCCATACAGAGCCCAGATAAGGGAAGTTTGAAGGAGGGCCATATTGCAGGATAACAGTTCACACTGTGCAGATTTGTTGTGAAGTCTGCATCAACACTTCTAGCAAAAGAATGAAGGTATGATGGCAGGAATGAGACCTACAATATTAAATCAAAATCTTCCCTTTCGAAGCTCTGGCGATCGCCTGTGTCGTCATTGTTAATTCGGCGCTAAACCATTTTGAGGCATATGCAGTAAATGGCGGTATGATTTATCTGGCAGAATATTTTGGCCGCTCGATTCTGCCAGACCAGTCAGCTGACCCGCTCCCATCTCCGCTTTGCTTCCGCTTCAAAGGAGCTACAAACTTAACTGCACAAGGCAGAGATCTTGATCTTGATCTTGATCGCTTCTCGTGTTTATATTAAATTTTTTATCTGTGTTTCTCTCTTTGTGCTTACAAGGCTTCACGTTCTCAATTTTCCGTCCCTGGGTTTAACAATTGCAATGTGCATCTCAGGCCATATCAAAAACACAATTTAGCTCATTGGCGGTTTCCTAGCAGTATCAAGCCTTCTACGAGCTTTGACGGTGGACTCAGTCTCAAAATGCAGTGCTACACAGAGCTATTACCCCCCACGGGGGTCACCCATGCTTTGGCAATTCCGTTCACCTCAGCAACCGCCAGCAATTTGATCGTTGTCAGAACTTCTCTATTGCAGGTTTTCTCTCTCGTTAAGGTCTCTCCTCAGCCACAGAAGGAAGGCTCAGAACCTCATTCTTTACAATTTTCTCAACCAGAAACGAAATTAGTACTGGAAAAAGAATACCCACTATCCGGAACCGTGACTGATTTAAGCCGAGTCAAAATCTTGAACACTAAGAGTGGCGGAGAAGCCATCTTAATCGCAGTCCGCAATGCCAAGCTCAGCTTGATCGAGTGGGATCCTGAGCGTTATGGAATCTCAACAATTTCCATCCACTACTACGAGCGGGATGATCTGACCCGCAGCCCCTGGGTGCCTGATCTGAGCCGGTGTGGGAGCATTCTGAGCGTTGACCCAAGCAGTAGATGCGCGGTGTATAACTTTGGAATCCGCAACCTTGCGATTTTGCCCTTTCATCAGGCGGGTGATGACTTGGTGATGGATGACTATGACTCGGAGCTTGACGGAGAACGCCCAAATCAGAACTCTGGTGGAGGCGCTCAGATCGAGAAGAGCAATGAAGGACCAGCGCACCAAACACCCTACTCCTCGTCTTTCGTCCTGCCACTGACTACCTTGGACCCTTCATTGCTACATCCCATCAGTCTTGCGTTCCTATACGAATACAGGGAGCCCACGTTTGGAATTTTATATTCTCAAGTCGCAACCTCCACTGCCCTTCTTCATGAAAGAAAAGATGTGGTATTCTACGCTGTGTTTACACTGGACCTTGAGCAGCGCGCTTCTACCACCCTTCTTTCGGTATCTCGTCTTCCTAGTGATCTGTTCAAAGTCGTGGCACTCCCACTTCCAGTAGGAGGTGCCTTGCTTCTTGGATCAAATGAAATTGTTCATGTGGACCAAGCTGGTAAAACCAATGCGGTGGGAGTGAATGAGTTTTCAAGGCAGGTTTCTTCATTTTCAATGACCGACCAATCAGACTTGGCGTTCCGCCTCGAAGGCTGCGTGGTTGAGCGACTTGGTGGTGATAGCGGCGACCTATTCCTAGCACTTGCGTCCGGCGAC